GAATTCCCACGACATTTTTTAACACAAACGTGTATCAGTATCATTTGTTTAAGAAAATGTACATATGTGCGAACAAATAGTTCAGAAGACAACAGAATCGTCGATTTAATTCTTCACTTAAGTTACATAAACGTTTTTTCGAAAAACAGTTAAGATCTGCACTTTTAACCCAAACCGTTTATGTAACTTAAGTGAGGAATTAAATCGACGATTCTGTTGTCTTCTGAGCTATTTTTTCGCAAACATGAACATTTTCTAAAACATATGATACTGGTATACGTTTGTGATAAAAAACGTCGTGGGGATTCTGCCTACAACGCGCGAAATAAGGGAAAAAAAAAATCGTACCTCGACGTTCCGACATTTTGTAACCAAAACGAACCAGCGTAATCGAGTGGATCACCAGTGAACCCGACAAAAAATTCTTTTTTACCATTATTTCCACCAAATGACTTCAACATGGATGTGAGGATTTCATCATCATTTATAGAATTTTCCTCCTCCTCTTCTGAAGATTCATAATCATTATCACCAGAGGGTACCAGATGGCGCTCAAGCGCATCTTTGTGTTCTAACGCTGCATCTTCAAAACGTTTCTGTGCTGACTTTCCTGGCTGTCTGCCTGCAAACAAAAAGATGGTTGTGGAAACAAATATATTATGTTTTACCTACCTTACACAAAATTAGAAAATTCTTATTTTCTTAATTTCATCAGAAAATCCTAATTTTACAAAACAAAATCATCAAGTAAGCCCTTCCCAAACTAAAATAACTTTTCATCAGAAAAAATGAACATGCAGAAATTCCATTTAACATAATGTATGAAATACTTTATCAGACAAGGCATTAACATGAAAATGTCACCACCTGACATTTGTTACATGCACCAAACACCAACTGCCAAACACTAGCCAGAAAAAAGTTGGAGACTATAAAAATATGATGATTACACAATGAGAAACTAACGAAATGATATTCAACAGAAAGGTTATTTTTAATGAAATGTTTTTACTTCAGAAAAGAGAGTCCAGTAAAATTTTAAATGTTTGTAAGTACTTTGAATTTAAAAAATAAGCAATCAAAGGACCATATTGAAACAATGTAAAAATAGAAACATTGATACATGTCCTAATTTTGTATATTTTAGTTTGTTTTGTAGTTTAGCTATCATATTTGTGGCCTCTTATATTTTAACGCTTCTCTGCCATGTTATTTTCGGAAAGATTCTCTGGAAAGATCTAAATCCCTGCTATCAGGGAAGATGAAATGTACTAATAATCACCAGTTAGGTCATGTGACCAGTCATTAACCACGTTTTATATTCCCTGATAGCTGAGATTATAGGAGTTGAAAGGCAAAATACCTTTAAATGCCAATAAGAACCTGTCAGCATTAAAATAAATGTTGAAATAAAAATACTTTTCATTTTGTTTTTGTTTACAGAGTACATGTGGTATATAATAAAACAAGCTTGCAGCCTCCGGAGCATGTCAGTGGACAGGTTATTCCCTCGGGAAAAATATTTTGCACTATTTCCCTCAATGGCAGTCACTATTTGTTTTATTGTATATCATTACCATAGTCATTTGCTTGTGACGAAGGTTTAACTGAGTGTCCAGGGCTGATGTTCTTTTTAGGACTAGCTGGTCCTCCCCTTCCTCGACCTCTTCCACGTCCTTGCAAGTACAGCGGCTTATCAGCCATCTCTAGGTTATGACATCATTAGGCTTTAGCAACACTAGAAAACAGGAGGTCATTACACTGTTACAAGAAACTTTCCATTTATGAATCATAAATTTACAAACCCTGCTACTTTCTGGTATGATCTTATGACTCCAAGTTTAGTAAGGACAAAATAAACAAACAAAAGCTTTATATGATCTGTCACTTACAGTAAAATTTTAAATGTTTGGAACTACTTTGAATCTAAAAAATAAGCAATTAAAGGGCCATATTGAAACAATATGTAAAAATAGAAACATTTATACGTGTCCTAACTTTTGTGTATTTTAGTTTGTTTTGTAGTAAAGCTATCATATCTGTGTCCTCTTATATTTTGATGCTTTTCTGCCATGTTATTTTCAAAAAAATTAATATGGCTGAAACTCCCTAAATTACAAAAGGGCACAGCTTTGCTGCACATTATACATAATTATCTGAAATATTCAAAAGTTAGGACTTGTACATATGTTTCGAATCCATTTTTCATATACTGTTGCAATATAGTCATTTGATTGCCTATTTTTTTAATTCAAAGCAGTTCAAAACATTTAAAATTTTACTGTAGAGCTTTGACCTACATGTTTGATAAAAGCTGTAGACCCAGAGGTTAGTGCAAAAATCAACAAACTCAGTTTTCATGATAATAGTGAGTCACCAGTTACTGTCACTGTCCGTGATTCCAAAGTCAAAATCAAGGACGATTGGCTCCGAGGATTGAAACTCAATATTTTCTAACAATGAAAACATCTAATTGTTGTTATTTTCAGAAATTATAACCAACTATAAATTCAAAATAAGCAGTCGAAAAGATTCGATTCAATATCTCGATCATTTCTTGGAGTTTTGGAATTTTTTGTTAAGAAATAAGACCAATATTCAAATAGACCAAATTACGGTCTAAAAACCTTGGTGTTTGATAATCAAAACATCCACTTATTCTCTCATTTGGCCTTATTCTTTAGTTTTCCCTCCATATATAATAAGTTTGCCTGATCCCTTATCTAGCGCCACCTACCTTTTGTCAGTTAATCACAGGAAATTGAATAGAAATCTCTCATATCACGCAAATCATTTCTCCCTCGCATTGGTCACAAATTCCAACATGGAAGAGATTCTAAGAAAATGACGTCATCGACAAATGGACTAGTCGAAGCGTAGGGGGCAAGGTATGTATATATCAAACGTTGCTATCTTTCAGCAGGTACCCCGCCGTAAATATTTTTTACAGATATGTGACTTGTTATGTGATCCCTACCGTATACGGTAGTACAGTTCCCGGGATTGACAAATTTATAGTAATTGGTTCTTTAATTGGTCTTTGTACTGAACGAAGTCAAGATAAATGTCATTTTTCACCCCTGTTAGATAACCTCGCCCGATATTTTTAAATCTGACGTCACTCAAACACAGGGCAATGAGAATGTTTCTGTAGAAAATTACTGACTTGTCCTTCGTATTTCTGTTCCTAGCTATGAAATGGATAAAAACACTTGGCCATCAAATGTAAGTAGGCTGAATGATTTAAAAGAAATACATGAACTTTTTCAGAAAATGGATTTTTTGATTGTCGAACAGCATACTTTTTAGAGTATAATTGATAAGTCGTATAGTTGGCATATTATCTTGAATTTGAACATTTAATGTCCCAAACTCCCCCAAACTGCAGAAAAGTATACACTGTAATCATATTTACCAAAATGAGTGTCTCCAAGGCTTCACACCAGCGTATGCATAATGCATTTGTCACGAGTTTTAGCTGAAATTTCTCCAAAATGAAGTAGGCTAAGGGTAGTCTCTGCCAGGTTTGTTTATTGTGGTAAGCTTGTAAGTGCTCAGAAGCAATAATTCATGTGCGCAAAATAATCAAATAATCTGATTGGTTTAAACTTTGCTGCACATGTGCGCAATATGTGCCATTTTTTCTAGGGACTTAGTTTCGTTTTATGGAGTTTGCGTTTCAGTGTAACTTCCGCAAAAATGGCAGACCATGGACAATTAACACGTAAAATCACTTCGAAATTTCAAGAGAACTTTTTAACTATAATAGCAAAACTTTTGTTTTATTTGTGCATTCTATCTATCAGATAAGAGTCTCAGGGGTATGAAGGCAAATTCATTTTGGTAGGAGCACTCTGTTTAGTTTGAAAATGCACCCTTTATTATTATATATCAGCACTGTAGAGGTACAGTTGGGGACATAAATAAATGACAGGTGGATTTGCTGAAGTGAGGATTTCCCATGTTAAAAATAAGAGAATTTACAAGAGGCCATACATCAGTGGATGAGATTATACAAAATGTAAAATATACAAATTTTAAGGGATATATATCTAGACAATATTGGAAATTATGGGCTTTCAGACCACCATAATTAGGAAATGGTGATCGAAAATCGACCTGTCATTTATTTTTGTCCCCAACTGTATATTTCATATTATTATGCCGTATTTACTGTGCGTGTGACAAAATGATTTACAATATTCACAATACCAAGGCAGCTCAATCTTTCTACTCAAAGCCCGAATATAGAGAAGACTTTGGACCGAAGTAAGTAACAACAGTACCCATCGTTTCAGGTATGACATGTGAAACTGACTCCAAAATCAAAGAAAAATAAATTTTCCGAAGATTTTGTGTATTCTCGTTGTGCATATTCATTGAACCTAGACACAAAGAAGAGGTACCTGGCTGAGGTCTGGTCAAAATGAAAAAAATATAGAAAAATAAATCAAGAAATTATTTGAATATTTTTTCTTTTGCTCGATATTATCATTTCAAGAGAGAACAACTAACAATTCTTTTTTGTAGATCATGAGTACAATGTAGTTTGATTGGCGATCACACTAAATGTATGCAATATGTCGTACAACTTGAATAAATTACCATTTATTCAATGAAAAATTGACGTGTAATTTTACTTACCTGGGCGCTGCCATTTTGAATAAAAACAACATCATGCGCGCAAAACAAATAAAATCAATCTCTATGGTTAATAAATTCGATTTCAAAATAAAAAAGATAAAACGGTATTTTTCAATATTAGAATGATGATTGTATTTCATATTTAAGTATCTAAATCACATCTAAAGATGATATTCTAATTTTGCGCAAAATATGCGCAAACGTTTTGAAAATCAATTTTGTTTCAATTCTTTTACTAGAGCAAATGTTGGTTTAGTCGATTCTTTCAAAAACTAAAATTTATTATGTTATGCTATTATAGTTGACTTTAGATGAGTGATATTGTAAGTTCTCGGAACAGCGTTACTTGAAAATTTCCAAAAATGGACGAGCCGAAAATCTGAAAAACTGGTTTTCATATTTTTGTTTTTAGCACGTCCTATCTGACGGCGATTTAATTTATCCAACCACCTCATTTTATATATGTTCAGTTACTCGTATGAGCTCAAACGACAACCAGAGTGAGGAGAGAGAGGAAGGAGCACAAGCTGCAAAGTGAGTTTTGAATCCTCTTTTTTCACTCAGTTTTCATTGGATTTTACTCTACCGAGCTGACAGCCAGGTGTGTTCAGTAAATTGGATTGATCAGATCATGGATTATCATCACAAATATGGTATTATGTTAGCTTGGAAAAAATGAATATCACTGTTCTTTATGGTGATTTTGAAGTCATGTCTGCACTTCACAGTTCAAAATCAACTTCTGTGTAGTAATTTGACACCTCCTTCTAATTTGCCTCACAGATCCGGAGCCAGATCCAGCCCCTATTGGTAGTAGGCTCAAAGGATAAATGGGAAGATAAGACACGAGCCAAAAATGGCACATCAAAAAAATGACCACCCAAAAATATGACCCTCGTACTAGTGATCTGCGGTCTTTGAAAATAACTGACCAGTTTTGTTAATAATGTCACTTACAAAATTAATTCTACAATAAGACCACCTTTCAAAAAATAAAGGCTTATTTCTGTACAAAAATAATTTGTTGTTCCATAAATTATCATTTGGTAATGTCTCCTTGTTATTTTCTAACCAAACAGTTAACAAAGTATGGTAAAACTGATTCTTAATATGTACAATGCCTAAAAACTCCCTAATACCTACAGAGCTATTGAAAACACTACAATTTTCCCCAACTTGTCAAAATACAACATAGGAATATGCCGCCAGGCACCAGATCCTGGACTTGCAAGACTTGCGATCCATTTTAACAATAGAGCACTTTGTAAATGTTTCATATTTAACATCTCTAAGCCACCATCTTCAAACTTTTGAATCAAAATATTTCTTTTAACTCTTTCACACTGGTGATCTACTCGTTTACGCTGGAACCGTTTCGGTAACAAAATGTTGGGGTTCTTAATAATAATATAATGTAACAAGTCCTTCAACTTGGATTATATCTGATTTAAAAGAGGAGTTCAATTGGTCCGCCACCCTATCTGATGATATATTTTAGTTTTAGTCGCCTCGCTGATATAGCAGTATCAATGAAATGTTAGGTAGGTTTTTTCAACCTGTCTTAATTATCAGCTTTAGTTGAGCAATTTTCTAGATTGAGTGCCTTCATACAATCTCCTGGAGACCTTCCCATACCCTATACTCACTGGGGTTTGCAATTGCATCAGGACTATTAGCTTGGCGATCATCAGGCCATATCAGTTCAGGAACATTTTGAAAATTATGCTTATTTCTCATGGCACACCACATGTTTAAGTGAGACGCTGGTGACATATTTTAGTCAAGTAAAAGTGTTCTAGATAACAACTCAAAAATTAAAAAGTTATAGCATTTTGAAAAAAAGTGGCGTTTTTTTGGCCCACCCTGTATTTGTCTGAAGGTTATGTCTAAATCTGGCCTATTGAGTGCTGACTAGAAGCAAGTTATCACCTGGAAAATGAGGGGTCTGGGTTTGATCTGCACCGAGGTAGACAGACTTTTTCACATAAGCCCTTAGTGCAGGGTTTTAATTCTGTGTTTTCATTAACCAATTGTTGACCTGACATATTTTCTTTATTTTTCCAGTACTGACCTATCATCCTCTCAGGCGCCCTCAGGAAAACCTCAATCCCAGAACTCTGAAACCATGTAAGTATTTGTGCATTTGTGACACTTTTTAACTACATACAATATGTGTATTTTCTTTGTGACATGACAATCAAAATTAAAAGCATTTGTGTGGTGAACATAATTCTGAACGTAGGATATGTAGAATGTCGTCATGATTCTACTATAAAATGCCTACCCATCTTTGAATGTCACATGATCTCCCTAGAATATTTTTCTTAACAAGGGGCAACATTCAAATTGACAATTTCTGATGGAGAAATAACCTCCCAATTCTCATTTAGGTTAAGATAGTTTCAAGAGATATTTAAGGCTTAGAAACAAAATTAGAAGCAATGTTGACCCAATTTGACTGCATTGAAAAGCATTTGTTGAGTGTTTTAACTATATGAATTTTGCCAAACATGGTAAAACTAGTATTCCTCACATTGAATTGATTTTTGCCTATTATTGAACAAAGTTACCCTCAAATCCAGAGAGGCTACCAGTAGAATTCCAGTCTCTGTAACAAATAGAGATTGGCTTCTGTAACAAATTCTTACAACTTATAACTTAACAAATACTGTTTAGACTGACTTCATTTTTTCTCAAAATCATCTCCAGGTTCTTGGAAGTTCAAATCCGACTTTAGATTTGAGATATGACCTTCACTTCAACCTTCTGAAGTACTGTACAAAAACAGGTTGAAAAGTTATTTTTCAACCTGCTTCAAATTGACCAAATATTTTTTTGAAGTCATCTACAAGTTCTCAGAGGCTCAAATCTGACTTAACATTTTAGGTTTGATGTTCACTGACCTGGTCAAGGTCAAAAACGGTTAAAAAGGTATTTTTCAACTTGCTTCAAATTGACCATTTTTTTCAAAATTATCTACAAGTTCTCAAAAGTTAAAATCTGACTTAAGATTCAGGTGTTTCACTTGAATTTCTCACAACAGCTTAGCAAATGAAAACAAAATAAATTTAACATGGAAAAGTTGAAAAACAACCAGTGAAAATCGCCTGTTGCTAATGAAACCCTTTAATGACCTTCTCAAGGTCAAAAAAGGTATTTTTCAACTTGCTCCAAATTGACCAATTTTTTTTTTCAAAATCATCTACAAGTTCTCAGAATTTCAAATCTGATTTTTAGATTTAAGACTTGACCTTCAATGACCTTCTATCAAGTCATTGAACTCAAAATATTGTGAGCAACTAGGTGGTGACATTTTGCATGTTAAGGTTCAGCTGGAAAGTAACATTTTGGTAAAAAATTGCTATACCTGCACATGTTATTTTCTGGTACAAAATTAAGTATGAAGTCATGTGTGTATTTCCTTGCTTTTTTCAGGAAAGTACCATGACACTGTCTACTTTTAGTAAACCTGGAAACAGGTCAATGTGTTGTCTGGAAACTTTGAAAGAGAATTTGGAAAAATAGAAAGTGTGAAATATCCGAATTTCCTGGAGTTCCCATTGAACTCCTACTAGATATTCTTAAAGTCCCCGTCTAAAGTTTGAAAATATTTTTTTATCATTCATTTACTACTTGTCAGGACTTAAAAAGTGATTTTAGAGATTTTTGAACAAAAAAAATTTTTTGAAAAAAAAGTTGTGAGCATTTCATTTCTCAAATATTCAAATTTCCCGCCATTTTTCAAAAAAAGTTGAAATTTCTTAATCATCAAATATTTCTTAATGCATTTCAAAAAAGATTATCTTTTTAACACCAATGCAAAGGTTGAACAAAGGACACACTATTTCAATAATAAAATGCCATATTTAATGGGCCACTTCAATGTTTTAGCATATCAAAAATATTTTGAAACATTAGTGATGTCACCAAGGTACCAAACATTTTTGAAAAAAATTGAATCTTTTTTTTCGATGTCAATCTTTTCTAAATATGTTAGACTTTCCTGAAAACCAATGTTGATTGTCTAACCAGGTTAAAAGGAAGAATAAATTATGTTTTAGATATCAGTACCATTGGTTTCTATGAGAACTAAAATTTTGAAATGCATTTTTCTCGGAACCATTTTCATGCACTGGTAAGTTCATTTCTCGCTTATTTATGAACCGATTTTCTTAATTTTTTTGGCAAAAACATGGGAGGATGAATGCTGCATTGGTATGAATTGTGGCTAATTAGAAGATATGAGTGACCTCTAAAAGTTGGTTTTAAATAAATTCACAAATTTGGGAACAAAAAGTCTATCAAAAACCACTTTTTGAAATTTAAAAAAAAAGTTTCACATATCACACTTTGATAACATTGGGTAAGACTACAATATAAGCCAAAGTGGTTTAAACTTTACATGGGGCCTTTAAAGAGCAAGGCAATTGAGACATGTCTTCATACTTTATTTTGTACCAGAAAATAACATGTGCTGGTATAGCAATTTTTTACCAAAATGTTACTTTCCAGCTGTACCTTAATGCCTTGTTATTGTACTGTTTTGATGCTGAAAAGAATATGGAATGTGTAATGAGTGTCAGCTGTAAATAGGTATAAACATGTATGTCGTGTACTACATTCGATAGGTGATTTTGAGTCTTGAGAACCAATCAAATTGTACCTGGTTAATTTTGTAAAGCATATTCATGAGATCAAGAAAAGTCTCATTAAAAGATTTTTTATTGAAAGAATATATTAGCAGACCTCAATACAATATTAAACAATATTAAACTCTTGACAAAGGATCTAGATTAGATTCTGTTTTATGATGTAGGCTACTGTATTTGTCTTTAATTTGTTGCTCCTAATTTGGCGATCTATCATATACCCTCCTGTCTAATCCGGTTTAATTGTTGTTGAACACAATTCAAAATACTCTAAATTAAACAGTTTAAACGACCCTGACCATCATATTATCAGAATTTCACCAATCGAAAAACAAGTTGAATTCCTGAGAATTTTGAGACTATTTACAAATTAAAATGCTCGCTAAATTAAAGACAAATACTGTACATCCTTGCTTTGTATATTTAGTAACTTGCTATTTCTGAGTTCATCATGTACTGTACTTTTAAAGATCAGAATACCAACTGTTGAAGTAAACAATCCATCTAGACCTCCTGTAGTTGTAAACAAATTAATAAAATATTTTTTGTTATGTTACCATAATGGTTTATTTGACCTAACCAGTACATAGTTGATTTGCTATTTGTGGGTGTGTGTGTTGGTGGATATATCTGGAACAGTTAAAGATGCTTGAGATGTCACTTTATCAGTGATATACCCAGTGTTTTTATGTCATCACCAAGAAGTGGTGACATTTTGTTATGGTCTCCGTTTTTTGTGGCGGCAGTTGGCGATCGGCGGGATGCTCCTATTTGATATTTCAGAGAATGGAGTGCACTCAAATGATAAACAATTTTCATCCACTTCGAATTTTAAAAAAAATCTTGGAAAACAGGCATTATTGAATATATACTACTGAAATAATAAAGTTCTAACTTCTAGCATCGCAAATAAGATCATGTCTAATCTTATCTCAAATAAAGATCAAGAAAATAAATAAATATATTTAATGTCAATAAAGAATGTTACATGACCCTGTTTAATATCTGTGGGCTACCCAAAAAAGATCCAGATTTAAGATGTATGACCAAAACATGTAAAATTAGGATTTTGAGCATTTATTGTTAAGAAAAACTCCTGGGTAGATCAATGCCTTGGATATGGTGGACTAATGAGTGGTGAAAGAGAACATAATTTAACCCCAAATCAATGCAACTTTATTGAATCCTTCCAGGAAAAGAGCAGCAGCTAAACAACTCATCGAGAAGTATTTCTTCCAACTGACGGAGGGCTGTGGAGATACGTCATGCTCCAATAAATACTGTGCCTCCAGTGGTCAGTTTTACATGAAGGACCTAACGAGGAATCAGGCTGGTGTGCAAGCAATACAGCTGTTTAAAGGTACGTATTCTGCACAATGTGGGAAGGGGTTAAATCATTTTCTGGAAGACTAGATATCAATTTTGTCTATGCAACAGAATACAACCTCTCTTTAAGATTCTAAACTACATGTAGTTGAGATTTGTCGTAAAATATTGAAGATTTACTGACAATTTATTCAGTAAAACCTGTCTAATCTGAATGCCGCTAGAACCTGACAAAAATGTTCATATTGATGTTGTTTACATTTTGAAGACTTAACATGATATCATCTATGGCAGGTTAAAAAGATGAACCAGAAAAAACATTCATTTTGAAAGGTTTTCAAATTTAATGTTCAAATGTACAGGTTTTATTGAATCTGGATTTCTAAATAACATAGAATTGGTTTTGGATAAAATATTTTTGACTTCGTTTCAGACTTCTTTCTTTGATGCCTTGTCTATTTTAACTATCCTAGCTACGTCCCTGTCTCGAATTTCTAGGTTTTCTTGGTGCATAGCAATATTAGATTAACTTATTGATAAAACATCTCTTACACTTAATATCTATTTAATAATTAACTGCTTAAGACTATGAATATGAATTACAAGGAACTAGAAATCTATTTTGAAGTCCATTATTAGAGGAAATGTCAGTCACTTTTACCTTACATGGTTTCAACGTCATCAAGTCTTTGATAAGCTGCAGACAATGTGTGATTTTCTCAAGCAATTTTTGTATCGATTTTTTTCGACCTTTGTCACTATGTAAAAATTTCCATCTATTCTGCCTGTTGTCCAAACATTCTAATCTGATCATGGTTCCAGGGTGTTACTTTTTACAAGGTAGCCAAAAAGGTAACCCAAACAAATCTTGATAACTCAGTCATCCTGCATGGGTCTAGTGTCATATTTGTCACAATAGACCAATGAGACTTAAGAATGAAAAAAGCATTTAACAAGGTTCAATTGTGCCAAATATTATTTTAAACCCATGCTGAATGACTGAGTTATCAACATACATTTGTTTGGGCTACCTTTTTTGACTCACCCTTTACAATGATAAATTATTCTTCTTTCAATTAGACATCCAATGGTTTCATCAACCTTTATTACCCTCAACAAAGAGACTAGTCTCATATTACGCCCCTGGGATCAATCTGTTATGTCACCATCATATTGTTATGGTCTCCAACTTTTTTGGGGACGACGGTTGGTATTCGACTTCTGTAACAAATTCTTATGGCATCAGTAGCAATTGGCAGGTGGTGACATTTTGCATGTAAATGCCTTATGTTTTTATTTTTATCTAATTTTTTTTAAAGAATTGCAAAGAAGCATCATGCCTAAAAAGGGTCTTTCCTCCCCCATTCCTTTAACACTTGCTGCGTGTATAGATAGGGGTTTACCAGTATTCTGGGCCCCAATATACATGTAGTTAATAAAAGTGAAATAGTGTGAAAAATATGCTGATTAAAATGTTGGAACATAATGTTTTTTCACTGATGAAATAAGTTCAATTAAATTTATGATTTGACTTTTCCAGAAAAAGCTCCAATATGTGAGGACACTCCCACAAAGATTGCAAAAGTCCCAGAGAAATTGTCACCAGATGCCTCCACTGACTCACCTTCCACTTCAGGGGCCTCTAGCTCTACCAAAGCACCACCTATTGAGAGTGCTCATAAAAATAAAAAGACCCCTTCTCCACCAGGTAAGTAAATCAACATTTTGTAAAACTTGCATTTTAAGAAGATCTTCAAATAATGAAGGATATGAAACCAAATTCAAAAACATTTTCATCCCATGACATTTTATGAATTTATTTTTGAGCCTATGTTATATTCTAATGCCGTCCTTTTTAGTGTCATTGATCCAGTTTTTAGATAATTTTTTATGTCACCATCAAAAGGTGGTGATATTGTTATGGTCTCCATTTTTGTGACGGTGGTTGGGGATCGGCGGTTGGTATCTGTAACAAATGGTGGTGACATTTTGCATGTTAATGCCTTGTTATTTGCTTTTTTAGATAACATATATACAATATATTATGTCTTTACAGCCAAGAAGGAAACTCCATACTTGACAGAAGCGAAAGTTGCAGCCATCATAGAGGAATGTAAAGCCACCAAAAACTGGTCTCAACTCATACGTATTATTGGGAGCGTCTTCAATAACCAGGAGTCGCTAGAGCTCAGTTTCCAGATCCAACCAAGTAAAGAAGAAATGAACGCACAACTTGAAGATGAAGACAAAGATAAGGACGAATCAGAAGAACAAACAGATTGTAGTGACCAATCAGAACCTTGCACTGGAAAATCAAATATTCCAAAATCTGACACGGCTAATTTGAACTCAGAGACATCAGATGTGTTAAAATCGGAATCAGGCAAGTCTGTATTGAGTGAAAGTGAAGCCGTAAAGAACAATCCATCTGGTGATTCTGATGATGACTTAGCAGGTGTAAAAGTGAGGGAAAATGTAGACACTTCTGCCAACACTACCAAAACTAAAGCTGTAGTTGAAGATAATAGCACTACAGTGGATATTGAAGCAGTTAGAAGAACGTTCAAAGAACTATTTAGCCTGCCTGAGTTACCATTTCAGCCTTCATTGATCAACGCTTTAATATATCTACCACGTGGTGGTATGCAGATGGACATTCAATATCACAATGCTTATGAACGGAATCCAAAAATTCTCAATATATTCTTGATTTTGATGGAAATCCCCTGTTTGCATAGTCCAGAATTTATCGAAGAAGCCTTTCCCACATTGTGTAAAACCATAGGACTGTTACCTGTAGCCGGACAGGCCCATTTAGCTCGCATATGGTCAAAGTACCCTGTAGACAAACTGAGATCCTTTTTGGAATCATTACAGCAGCTTATTACAGTCAAAGTGATAACAGGACAATGGAGCAGCATGAATATTGTGAATGACTGTGAAGCTATCACATCTGCCGTAAAAGTTTTGAAAATTCTTTACTATGCTTGTATATACGGCGGGAAAATGGACACCCCCGTTGTCTTAGAACGCGAAAAATCAGCAGCAGCTGCGATGGAAGAAAGCATACATGATTATCTTCAAGGGGCTGTGGGGCGAGACAAGGAACAAACAACACCAAAGGAAGATGTATTAGGGAAAGAGCTTGGCGTCAATGTCCTTGATTGCCGGGAACCATTAATACCATATATGGAATTTGTAAACGAGGCTTTAAATTCAGACTCTATAGAAATGGATAAGGATTATCCTTACTACAAGAACAATAAATTTAGTTTCATGAACCATTCGTTTATATTGACAACTGCTACTAAAAACTTGGGCATGTATTTTGACAATAGGATTCGAATGATTAACGAAAGAAGGACATCCATGTTACAAAGTTTGGTCCACGGAGGCCCCAGTATGCCATATCTGAGGATACGGATACGCAGGGACCACATTATAGACGACGCTTTAGTCGGGGTAGGTTCTAATAATCCCAGAAAAGTTTGGTTGAGGCTTCCTCTGTAACCAAATCCTTTGGCTTTGTTGTACACTGTTAAAGATATGAAATCAAAAAATGTTGCAAAACAAGGAAGATCTGTGTTTGCTGAGGGAAATGTTTTACATAAACAAAGACCTCTATCTGTTGATTTGTATAATTGTCAGAAAGTACATTTCTTGTTTGCAAAAGAATAATTCATGCTGTTTTTGATGAATCCTTAGTTTTTAGTATGTATTTAATATATTAGAAGTCAGAAAATCTTGCAAAAATGTGAACATCAAAAATGACTTAAAATGAATACAGTATGGCTGGTATTATTCTGACCCAATCCCTCGGTGAACTTAGGTATGATATTATCAGCTTGATTTGGGCTCTCAAAAAAGCTATAATATTGGGGGCAAGCTCATGGTATGCCGAGGGCTGGACTATGCTATGACATGTACATGGATTAAACAAATGGTCACAATATATTATGTTGTAGCTTGAAATGGCTGCAATGGACAACCCAGTTGACTTAAAGAAACAACTCTATGTTGAATTTGAGGGTGAACAAGGTATTGATGAGGGAGGAGTGCAGAAGGAGTTCTTCCAACTTGTTGTAGAAGCCATCTTTAATCCAGATATAGGTAAGTTAAATGTTGATTGTGGTTGTGGGGAAGAGGTGTTTGAAAACATCTGTTTTTCATTGAATAAAAATAGTATTTACTATTTATTTTTAACCTGTTTTTATTGCACATACACCTGAAAAACATGATATATTTAATACATGTACTGGTACCTGGTATTTACAGTATAATGCAAAAAAGGTCATAGTCTCTGATCTCTCCCCATCTTTACTTGTATATGAAGTGTAGTGAACAGATCATGTTGGGGAACACAGAGTTGTATTCAACCTACAACTCTCACGAAGGTTTCCTCACAGACAGAAGTTGTACCAAGTTCTTTTTGGCCCTCTATAGGGTTCTTTAGGTGTCCTCACATGCAGTACTACTTGATACAACTTTCTGTATTTCCTTAATTCTACAGTGCTCAAAATCCATTTATTCAGAAATATTATTTTGTGGTTCTATGTATTTTATAGGTATGTTCACATATGATGAAGAAACCAGGAACTTCTGGTTCAATTCAACCTCATTTGAAAATGATGGCCAGTTTACTCTCATCGGAATTGTGCTTGGTTTGGCCATCTATAACAATGTGATACTAGATATTCACTTCCCTGCTGTTGTCTACAGGAAGCTGTTGGGCAAACTTGGCACATTTGAGGATCTATCTGATTCACACCCTGTAAGTTTAGATTTAGATTGTACATGGGCTTTCAACTAGAAGCCCATGGATTGTATATTTAGATTTTCTAATTTGGATCTTCAAGACTTGAGTTTTAATATTGATTAACAAATGATTTTAATATTGAATAAATTGTCATTGCCATTTAATATCATAACATTTGAAATGGAATAAAGATTAAGAAATATCATATTGCGAGAAATATATATCAATCTCATGTGGCCACCCTGTATAATTATCATTGCTTTCAGACACTTGCCAAAAGTCTCCGAGATCTCTTAGAGTTTGAAGGTGATATAGAAGAAACATATATGTACAATTTCCGTATTGGTTACAAAGATGTATTTGGTCAGGACCTCACACATGACTTAAAAGAACATGGGGATGAGATACCAGTCACACATAAAAACAAACAGGTTACATTTCTGATAGCAAAATTAATTATCTAAATTTATTAATTTAAAAAATAATAAATTATATTTTAGAAAAAAGTGTGGATATATATGGTTTTGATGATAATATGATTTTTATCCATGAATGCTGATATGATATTATTTTTATTTTGACATGATATCTTATGAATATCACTTTAACTATTGAATAAATGTATTTAGTGCATTCAATTTGTATATTGATAGAATCATAACTGATAATACATATATGTAATCTAAAAAAAGTCAACTATAGGTTTTTTACTTGATGTCAATCTTACTGCCTCAGATGAGATTTATCCGTAACACAAATAATTATTCCAGGAAACTAAGTGAGCCAAATATTCATGAATTTTATTGTTTAAATAAACGTTGTAAAAATCATTGAAAATTTTAATCTGTCATACTCTTCCAGGAATTTGTGAACCTGTATGCAGATTTCCTGTTGAATATATCATGTGAGAAACAGTTCCGTGCATTCAAGCGTGGCTTTCACATGGTCACAGATGAGAGTCCTTTGAAACTTCTTTTCCGACCAGAGGAAGTTGAGTTATTAGTCTGTGGTAGTACGGTAAGTATATGTACATACAAGTAAAAATTCAGAAATAGATGGATATTTTTTTATAATCAAGAAAGAAATAATGATGAATCAAATATATACTGTGAAGGAGTCTAATGTCTGTGTTAAAAGACCAGGTAGTGTATGGGGAATGAGCTTGGACAGTTTGAGCATTAGTATGTATAACATTTTCATGAAAATACATACAATTTTTTTTCTGTGAAGTAAAGTTGTCAGGATGATAAAAACATCAATCAAATCCAAAAATTTATCATCCCCAGGACCTGATATTATTTTCATGAGAAATGTTGTACTTATGATGAGAATATGCTCAAAGTCAAAGATATGGCTGTTTTAAATCATTCACTATACCATAGCCAGTCCTTAGTTGATTTTGATGAATTAAAATTCAAAGATAGATACTGATAGATACTAGATAAATGAATATTGACTTGATATGAATGAGTAATATATGTATCATAGAATCTCAACTTCAATTTGACTTCATTGCCTTTAATATTGCAGAATCTTGACTTCAATTGTCTTGATTGCCTTTGTATTGCAGAATCTTGACTTCAATTGTCTTGATTGTCTTTGTATTGTAGAATCTTGACTTCAATTGTCTTGATTGCCTTTGTATTGCAGAATCTTGACTTCAATTGTCTTGATTGCCTTTGTATTGCAGAATCTTGACTTCAATTGTCTTGATTGCCTTTGTATTGCAGAATCTTGACTTCAATTGTCTTGATTGCCTTTGTATTGCAGAATCTTGACTTCAATTGTCTTGGTTGCCTTTGTATTGCAGAATCTTGACTTCAATTGTCTTGATTGCCTTTGTATTGCAGAATCTTGACTTCAATTGTCTTGATTGCCTTTGTATTGCAGAATCTTGACTTCAATTGACTTGAATATGTTTGTATTGTAGAATCTTGACTTCAATGCCCTTGAGGAAGCTGCAGAATATGACGGGGGCTTTGATGCCACTTCTGGAACTGTCAAGTATGTTGCTCTTTTGAAGTATTCCTATAATACTGTATGTAGACTAAATGTCACTTTGTATGTAATTTCCATGATCATTACCAATGATTAATAAAATGTGTTAATATTTTTCATTCACATTTTTACATTCTTATGGTGATATTAAACATTATTATTAAATATGAATGAAATGGTATTCCTCAAATTCATTTTATTTTTTTTTAAACAGTAAAACCACCTTAATAAATTCAGGGTTTAATATTCACTTTGCCAAATACAGCCAAGAAGTCAATGTTTCATTAAAATCACTCTGGTATGTGCGGACATCTTCATATAGACATTATCACAATCATAGGATAAGAAATGCAGAATAATGTGCATATAATTTGATTTCCTGTTGCATTCTGGGTAAAACACAATTGTTCATAATGTTGAAAACATGATTGACACAATTTAACATATTGGCAATCAGTCCATTGTCCAAGCTGCCAATCTTATTGCCAAGAGCTAAAATTGATAGCCATTGGCAGTCAGGTAGTTGTGAGTTCCAAACACTGTTTATTAATATTTCTTGTGGGCATTTACATTGCAGACATTTCTGGGAGGTTGTTCAGGGGATGTGTGATGACCAAAAGAGATTGCTATTACAATTCACAACTGGATCTGATAGAGTGCCCATTGGAGGTCTTGCCAAATTGAAGCTGATCATCGCCCGCAATGGACCGGATTCTGAAAGGTAAAGGGACTTGAAGGCTAAATGGTATCAGAATATTAGTTTATTATCACTTGTATCTGAGAACAGGGGACGTCCACTTTTTCCTTCATCAATTTTTATGTCATTGTCACCCCCAGAAGTGGGGGTATGTTGTTAAAGTCTCCAACTTTTTTGTCGATGGCGGTCATTGTTTGGCAGCCAGCGTCTGTAACAAATGGCAGGTGAAGTCCAGCTACCAATTAACTTAAAATGAGATTGATAAACATTATGTAAGTGGATCACATCCCAAGTAGAACAATTATTTTTTTAAGATGTGCCAAATGTGTTCCACTTAGACAGTTTTACTGTATAAAATCGAACAAATTGAAAAATATCCTAAAATGGGATTTCCTCTTTTTTCCAGGCTCCCCACTGCCCATACATGCTTCAATGTGCTTCTGTTACCCGACTACAACAATAAGGAGAAACTGAAAGAACGCCTGCTGAAAGCCATCACACACGCTAAAGGATTCGGAATGCTTTAGACTATAAATTTTGATCGATTACATCTAAATGTTGACACTTGTGGAAGAATAATAATTTTGGACAAATGATAATTTCAGTCGACTGTAAAATATTGATTTGTAATGGCCCTGAACATGAATAGTAAATCAACATTTTAATATAAAGGTTGTTTTTTGAAATTAACTTGTTTTTCCAAAACATAAGACACCATCAGTCAAGGGATATTCTTTCAGGAATGTGAAACATTGAATTTAAATTACCAGGCCTATGTAATAAAGTTATAAATTAAACAGGTGTATAAAAATATTAAAACTCAATGCAAAAATAAGTCAAAACCTTTTGTTTTGGGGAATAAAACACTAAAAATATTCCCATTTACAATCTAGTAAATCAGTGTTTTAGGGTTTATGTAAAAGTGAGTGTAAAATTATAGGAAAACTTCAGCTTTGTTTAACGTGGAATAGACAGTAGCTGAGGGTCTCTTTAATACAGTAAAACAAAAACTTAAGGGTCCCACTAAATATCCTTGTTCAATTGTTTTATTGATACTGTATTTCTAGTGCAAATCAAATTGGGGATAAATACATATGGCTGCAAATGTCTTTCATGATATAATAGCAAAGAAATTATGGCAATAGATAAAAATTGCCAAACTCCGTAAGGCCAGATATTTCTTGAATACACTTGTACTATTTATTCTTAATAAGCTGTTCAATTCCATATTCATCATGCTTGTTCTATTGATGATATCTCAGTGCACTTAAATTGGAAACAGTTTTCATTTTGAGTGTCTTAAAGGGAGGGACATTTCTTTCTAGTCTGTCATTGTCTTGTTATGGTTGCGATAAACTCAGTATAAACCATCAATTTAGATTATAAATGTATTGTTCATTTTCACTCAATGAAACGCTTCATGTCAGAAAATCTGGAAATGGCTTAGGAATTTTTGAATTATCAATTTTGACAATACCAAAATATTTTCTCATGTTCTTCTGAAATAAATGATAGTTTTTAGCAACCAAATGGAGATAGCAATGGCGTTTAAAGGAATATACCCTTTTTACTTTATAATTCAAGTAACTGTGAGGTAAATTGTAAAACATCCTCATTGTACTGTATTGGGAATTACAGTCAGTGTCCACCTTGGAAAATATGAGATCTTTTTGAAGTTTGCATACCCATGATCTGTCTGTCATTTGTGTCCTTGTACTTAACTACATTTCAAAGGTGCATAATTAATATTAAAAAGACAATAAAATACATCAGTAATAAATACTTCTGATTTATGTTGTATTGAAACAAGAACAAAATAATTTGAGGTCATATGCTGAGGTATTAAGGAGGTTAAGCTGCACGTTTAAACTTGTATTCGGATGTCTAGAATTACAGTCATCAGTGATTAGTTCTGCCTTAATAATATACTCCTCAAAAAAGTTAAGGACCAGTGGTTTTATTTTGTTCTACGCTTAGAAAATAGTCGTTCAAACAAATATGGGGGTTAACATGTAAACCTATGAGAAAACCACTGGTCCTTAACTTTTTTTGAGAAGTATATTTCTTGTCTGATTGAGTAGGAAGGTATAAGGAAAATAATTGTAATTTGGTGCCTATGAGAGAGGGATGGTAACCCCTAGTCTCGTGGTCTTAATATTACACTTTAATGTACAAGTTCTCTTAAAGATGTGTGGCTTGACCTCCCTCCTTTGTCACCACCAAGACTTGCTGACATATTGTTACTATCACTGTTATTTTCTGCCTAAGATTCGGGTTATTGAATATTTGTTACACTTTTGTAATTTGAATGTTCAGAATGACTTGAATTACACATAAGTTTGAACAGATTACTGACAAACATGTTATTATTCACTGGTGGATATCAAGCGAAGGTAACTACCGTCACCTTTGCATTCAAGATGTCGGACGAATATTGTCGATTTCGAAAATTTTAGTTTTCATCGAATTAAACCACTTTATATTTGACATAATGCTTTATATTTGAACCAAATCAGGCTTATATGACTTGGAAACTCTGGAGTATGATCATTTGTTCATATGTAGTGCGTGCGGGTACCACATTTCAACGATATCTTCCACCACTTAAGGGAAGGTTACTGGAAATGTATGATACGGTAACGGTCTTGTTGGTTTTCAAGATGATGCGGTTACTGTATAAAGTCTGTAATATTGCTCTTTTGTTTCAGTCCAAAAAGATGCACTTGATCTAATGTGCACGTTTTGTAGAACTACAAGGGAAAGTATAACTATTTTTGCTTGACCACATCTTGGAAAGTCATGTTAAAGAAGCTCCAGATACCAACTTTTTCTACCTGAGAGGGAACTTAATGAAAATACTGGGGTTTTAATGTCTAAATCAATACGTTTTTCAATGGCATTAGGTTCTCTATGTAAATATGTCAAGGGAGGTTGCAATTGAGATATAAACCTTTATGAAAGTAATCGTACAACTTAAAGATTAAAAAGACAACAATAATTGGTAACAGATAAATGCATTGCCAACACATCCAAGGTCAACAAAGCGGCCAGGAGGCGATCCCAATAAAACCAATATGGTAAGAGTTAGACGCAACAACATTTGATTCTACACAGTTATTCATAAAACACTGGAAACAAAAATAATCTGTAAAAATTCGAGCGATGCCTGCCTTATGTATGGTTGTTCTCCGTCCTAGATCAAGAATGAACTCTGCAAAATATCGCAAAGTCGTCATTTAAAAAAACACCTTGGTGTAATTGATTCTTTGCTTTAAGAAAACATCAGAAAAGTCGACTTTCCAAAAAATGCAGTTGGTAACAATAGAGTTCATCATTATTTACTCTAAAATGCGGTAAAAGCGTCTCTAGTAAGTTAAGCCTACCTTTCTTCTTTATTGTGTCAGGTGTCTTTTAAAAACGCCACCTCATCGTTGACAAAAAACATTTCTGTACCCATATACGCGTCACCTATACCTCACCGTGTTTTATAGTTTGATACTCTGGCGCCGTTTTCAATAGCTTTTGTTCCTAGCACGTTACTGAACTTCAAATATAAGTGAAGCTTATCCGCAAATGATATATCCATTGCATGGAGTACTATTTTTTGATAAAACGAGTTAAAATGAGTTAAAAAATAAATTGTGAAGTATTCCTAATAATTTTATGAAAAATAGCATGCTCCGTCACAGCGGACAAATCGTTCGATACCAGCCTGTGGTTGTTGGAAGTGATTTCCATGTGTTTACTCTTGAAGGTCGTAATGCTGTCTTGGTTGTCGAAAATTGGTTGTGATGTGTCTTTTGTTATGTCGGTTGTTGAGCGTGGTTGTGTTGTGTTCGGTGTTGAAATTCGCTGCGCCGTGTCGGTTGTTGTTTTAGGAGCTACTGGATTTGGGTTGTTGTTATAGAGCCAATCCTAATGGATAATAGGCCTTACTGTCGAGGATTGCACTCCAGCTCCGGGAAATGTTGTACTTAGGTGGTTCAAACGGTTTTGCAGTTGATGCCATAACTTCAAGGAAAATAGGACTTTTACAATGAAACTTGGTACACATATGTGTTATACATTTATACATTATATGTTAAAATTTGGGACCTCAATTTTGATTGGTTCTTGAGATATGGTTGCTATGGTAACCAGAGTGGTGGGTACCATGTCCAACCCGAAATTACGTTTTTCCAAATAGTTTTCTTGCTTGAATAAACTCTTTGTAAAGTGGCAATTAGCAGGTGTAAGTGTACCAAGTTTCATTGCAAAAGTCCTATTTTCCTTGAAGTTATGGCATCAACTGCAAAACTTTTTGAACCACCTAAGTAGGTATCATAGATCTCGAAGCCGTTCCCGGTTGAATGGTTGACTGGTCTCTCCTCTCATGGTGTACAAACGTGTTGATGGGTGGCGTTGATCTGTGTCACCATTATTTGCAATTCGAAATGATTAGCTATAGAATGAACGACATTTAAAATATAAATAGGAGTAAAAATTAAGTTATTAAGCAACGATCTCAGAGGTTACATTCAGTGAAGAGGAATGCTGAAAGAATATAAAATTGCATTCATTGATGAACATCGTACACATAACCATCTTTAAATTACAGTGATAAAAATCAATAGCTAAAATAAATCTGAAAAGGATAAAAATCGTAACCGTTTAAACTTGCTTTCCCAAATGACACAAACAATGCTGAAGCAGTCGTTAAAATAAGAACAGCAACACTTATTGCAATTTCAATTCTGGTTCTGTCGATTTTGTACCGACTCTTCATAGGGTATGAACGTGGCGCGTCTCCATATGGTGCAATCTCTGCAAGCTCGGCTGTACGATGGATGATTGTTGTCTGGTGGAGGTTCGGTATTTGGACAGCCTTAGAGAGTTTCGTCGTTATGGTGTTCATCAGCTGTTTTTCTGTTGTAGTCGGGTTTGACGTACGTAAACGTCGTCACCATCAAAGACTGGGTTTGCGTATTCCGCACGTTTCATGTCTGATGTAAACATATACTTGAAGATTTCTGAATAATTAATCACGGAATAAATCTCACACTTTGGGTGCTGGAAAGAATAGAAACATACGGTGACGTCTGAGTGTAGTTCACTTGTAAATTTCAAAATTACATGTACACTGGTGATCCGCTAGTTACCAAAACGGCCATACATCGGAAAAATATTTCCTTATAAGTGACTTCCAAAATATAGTGTGCACAATGTGTTTTTTCAAACGGGATGTATTGAACGAAATTATATTTACGAATAGGATTTCTACCTTATATTCAAGTGAATTTTAGATCCATGTTTTTTACTAGATCAAACCATTAACCATCATCAACCACCGCTCTTTATCCGTTGTCAAGTCCTTAAACACTAAGTTTTCGAGATTACTCAGATTAGGATTCCCCAAGTGCATTTTTAAGTACATGAAGAGGACAGTTTTAAATTCCGATGCAGAGAAAGGACTGACCCCCCCCCGGGGGGGGGGTACTTCCATATATTGGCTATTTGGGGACGTGCCGCTAAAGTGGGTCACTTTTTCGCCGAAAAATCCATAGATTTTGAAGAAAAGACCCTATATATGTGTCACATTTTGATGAAAAATCCCTAGAACTGGGTCTACTTTTTGAAAAATCATAAATGGGTACTGTTTTTGAAGTCGGAAGTGCAGGGTCTTGTTTTTTAAAAATTACCTTGAAGTTGGTCTATTTTTGAAAGAAACCCCTAGATATGGGTCCATTTTTAGAGAAAAAATCCCTAGATGTGGGTAGATATTTCGACATAGTCTCAGCGGCACAAAAATTCCCCCGGGACTGACCCCCTTGCAATTTTTGTAATGATAATGTCACTATGTGCAGTGCCTGAGTTCATAGAATGGAAAGCAGTTAATTTTAGAACTAGAATTAGGTTCCAGCTAAAATCATATTTATCTCCAGTCCATTCCCATGTGCCCGCAAATGTGCACTTTGTAAAGTCAAGTCACAAATGGAAACAAAATCGAAAGAGAAACTAAAAGGGAAATCCATGAGTCACATGACAGTCATGTGACTTTAGCGATGACGTCAATATCCTTCGAGAACCCGGATGAATTCGTCATTAGACAACAAAGTAAGACGAAGAAAAGAGCATCCTGGATAACTCAAATATATAGGGATTTATAGGACAAATATACTTATAAAAAGACATTTTTATATTTATTTGGTATGTCTACTCCTGCTAGACGACGTCTTATGAGAGATTTTAGAAGGTAAGACCTAGATTTTGAACACTAAACAAACTGATTTTTTTCATAATAATCCAATATGGCTGCCATGACAATTATTTTTTGAGGGTATTTCCCCGTTTTATCAGCTGATTTTACCTATACTCTATTTATATTTTAGATTACAAGAAGATCCACCAGCAGGAGTAAGCGGCGCACCAACAGATAACAATATTATGCTATGGAATGCAGTGATATTTGGGTAAGAATATCCTATTCAAATTTAGATAGCAAAGTTGCATCTTTGAAATTTGGCAGCTGTCTTTCCATGAAACAATGAATCAGAAAGACCAGGAATAGTTGTTATATCAACAGATAAGAATTTGGATCCTTGTTTATTTCTTCCAAATGAGATTACCTTGGAGAATGAACTGTTGCTTTGTTTGCATTAAAAAAACTGATGCAAGAGACGGGTACAGTAAAAGCCCCATGCAGTGCAGATCATGATCTGAGTGAATGATCAAGTATTTCAAGAACACCAATCATCTTCAACTTTATTCAGATGCTGAAACCTATCATTATTTTGACTTTCATAAGATCAATGTAAAAAATAGATACTCTCTTAGCTAGCCTTAGACAAGGATTTTATGATTTATAACATAATTAGATGAAGACTTCATAAAATGTTAACATGATAGAGTTCTACTTTCAGACCGAGTGATACACCCTTTGAAGATGGCACATTTAAACTAACTATAGAGTTTACAGAAGAATACCCAAATAAGCCTCCCACAGTTCGATTTGTATCAAAAATGTATCATCCTAATGGTAAGCTATATAAGTTATTTATTATTGGTTATTACTATGGAAATCATGAATTGCACTCTTATTTGAAGATGCAGATGCCACAATTGCTGTTCTTAAACTTGATTTTTGAAGCATTTATCTGCAGAATAACGTCAAATTTAATGAAATGAATTTAGGTTATCTTTACACTGTATACGCTATTTTGAATACAAAGTGTACAAACTGCAACTATGCTCTGAGTGAACCTGGCTCTTACTGGTTACAACTTGTTATAATGAAGCCAAGTAATTATAGCAACAATAGTCTGTTTGCAGTTTACCCTTTTGAGTATAAAGTATACATACAAAGTATGCAGATGCAACAATGTTAGCCCATCATATGATGCGAGTCTTGTCTTGATTGTCATTTATCCCACTTTTTATTGTGATAATTAGAGGACATATAGACACTTAAATTACTCAAAATCACTGTGTGTTTGTAATTATAGCTAATCTTTGTAATGATGAAACACCCAATATTCACAGTGAGCATGAATTTAATTCTAGCGCAGATCAAATTTCCTAATTGTGGTTGAACTTGTTCACTTCACTGATTAACTTATTGTCAGACAGTCTGATTGAAATTTTGTAATAGTTGTTAATACTTGTGAAAAATTGATGACATATGATAATGATAATTACAATTAAGATTTGAGCCAATTCTTTGATCTAATTGAGGTAATAAGTGTGTGGTAAATTCAATATCTTAGCCTTTTCTTGATGTACAAAGATTAAATTTTAGAGACCTGAACTTCTAGTTTAGATTCGCATAAAAATGAGAAAAATCTAAATCTGAACAGTTTTGACAGAATCATTATTCGAGTTAACGATTTATCATATTTTATCTCAAAATAGTCTATGCTTAATGAAGTAAATGAAGTAGAATTTGATCTATCATTCAATTAAAAACATATGGCATATCCAACAGTCTCAAGTGGAAAATATGAAGATAATCAGGTAAATAATTCCTCTAAGGAATTTCAGGCGATAAAAATAACAAAATATTGCTTCTGGGACATGATCAAAAGACTTTTAAATATTCTTTACACTACCTATTTTGTAATTTAACAATCAACACAAGTATACATACCATATTTCAGCAGATATTGATAAAATTCATAAAAATAATTTTTGATCGATAAAATCATGGATTATAAAACTGGAAGTGTTTTCTCTGAGTTCCGTATAGAATATTTTAATTATTTCAAATTTTGTAGTGGATTCGAAATTGCTTCTTAATGATCTTCAAATGCTTACTATGATTTCCATTTGTAATGTTTTGACTTCCCTGCTTCATAAAAATAAAAACAACATTATCACCATTTACTCAACTCGAAAAATCACTTCTGGTAAAAGGTATATAATATATAATAAAGATGAGCTGAAAGTTGTCTTGAACACCTTTCAGTCCTGACAGTCTAGATACAGTGTATATGGCTTTTCAAGGCTCAATAGACGACTTTGAATGGACCTGCATGCATAGTTCAAAAATAGAATTATCTGAGAAGGTTTTAAACCATGAAATTGATGAAATATGCTGTTACATCATTTTGATGTTACAAAATTGCCATACTTGTTGGGGAATCCTAATCTTATAAGAATGGTCCTAAGGAGGTGTTTTAAATTTTCTAAAAGCCCCAGAGCTAATTACATAAAATACTGTAGTTACATCAAGGGAAAGATCAATACCCGGTGATTTCAGCGGGAAGTGGCGTTTCGTTCAGTGGATGAGCTGCACGCGCACGCATCAATGTGACTATCCAATATATTTAAGGGAGGTCTATTTGAAATAGTTTTTGGTCTCAGGCGCTACCCAGGGCTGTTGTCTTAAAGACATTTTGTTGAAAATGAGCCAGTCTGGTGATAATTGGTAAGAGTTTGCAATCTTATAATGTATAACTGTTACTCACACATATTTTGACACGATTCTGTTGGAAATAAGCTTTGAACCGAGAGATATTCACGATTGATATGCACATTTTTGATTGTGCCATTGCTTTTCCATTGCACAATCCATGTATTGATAGAAATAACATTAATAATGCAGATTGGTTTACCTTCAATACATGGCAGACACTACATATCGGTCTATTAAATACCAGTTTGTGCCTTAAATAGTTTTATATTTCCATCCACGGCCTGGGGCCTGGGTGTGTTTGTCTCTTATGTGTATGCTTGTGCATGGACTTCTAATCACTAGCAGAATTTAACATGATGCAAACTCGACATTATAACTCATGCTGTTACATTTTGACTTCGCTGGAAAACAATAGGGATTATTTTTCTTGCCAATCAATCACAATCAAAATTTCAGAATGATCAATCAGGCAATGATCCAAATCAAGTTATAACATTATATGATATTCAGCAAGAAGTCCGGTAGAAATACAGAATATTTAAACATCAAAGCTGAAAGTTAAAAGCCAATCTGTCAATTTTCTGTCTGCAAAAGAGCATTTGCATTTGACACAATAACAAACTGAGGCTTTGAAATCTAGGATTCCCCAGGAAAATATGACGTCATACTAATTAGCATACGGATTTCCCTATTGGTCTGGGTTGAGCCTTGTTCGAAAACACAATCCATAAATACATGCTAATTTCTAAGGAGATAGGAAGTGTATAACATGTTTATCGATTTTGTTTAAAGATTTAATCAATTATCAAATTTTTAAGTGGATAAAGTGGTCACACTTGCTTCCATTCATAGCGTAATCGACGGATGGAAACTGACCGAATTCCCGATATCCTACCCCGTATTACTGTAGGCTATTAAGCACAGTGACCTACAGAGGCCGCTATCACAAACAAGAACTGCACGAACCGATAAATTCCCGGGTATTGTAACGCCCTTGGTTACATAAGCAGTTATAAGTTAATGGTCTTAAATACAAAATAGATTCAGAGAAGACCTTTAAGGAATTGCCATGCCATGTGAATGACATTACCTTAGCATTTGGCCAATTTAACAGTTTATCGCAAGTAACAGTAATCACAGGCCAAAATTTTGTTTGAAACATTGAACATTGTCAATTAGTAATCAGAAGCCATAGCACAGTGTGGGTCTAAGGATTTTCCTGTCACTCGCCAAGTGGCAATTGACTTGTGTTTTTACACTCACCAATGAAAAATTACACTCGCCACAGTGTTGCTACCGAGGATAAATTATATGTACATGTATACTCAAAGTTTTTTTGTGAATAAAAATCTTTAAAAAGAAAGTAATATGTTTATGAAAGTACTAAGTGACATTGTTCTATAATATTCAACAATGGTGAATTTTATGTTTGACAATGTGGCAAGGCACTTCAATTTTACACTTGGATCCAAATAAATACATCCGTCTGGAGTTACTGTCAAGTAGGTATGACCCACACTGTAGCAGCATAAAAATATTTGGACAATGCTTTCCTTAAGCTGAAATAGCTCATTGAGCATTTCCAGTACAAAAACCAAATTCTCCGTTAATATTGATATTGTATTTTGTTACATTCACCTCATTATTTCCATTGTGAATTTTCAGTTTATGCGGATGGAAGTATATGCTTAGATATCTTACAAAATAGATGGAGCCCTACATATGACGTATCTGCAATATTAACTTCAATTCAGGTAAGAGAAAAAACGAAAATGCATTTCAATCCAGGCTAAGGGAATGGAAGAAATCAGACTATAGGTCAGATATCTCTTTAACTGAAATTTAACCCATTATCATTGCTCCAATTTTGATCAGATATTTAACCAGGTATTATTGTTGAAGTTTCTACAATATTTAACCAGCTATTTTTGATCTCATTTTCTTGCATAGGAGGTCTCATACAAACCTTTAGTTTCAATGGTGCATTACTATGAGGAGACACCTAATAGCCTTATATTTTGTCTAAAATCCCAAATTCTGTCTCCATGCTTGTCTAAAGACCAGTTCTTTAATCGAAGCTTGACTTTTCAAATAGATTTTAAGTGAGGCAAAAAAGTTCATAAAAATTTGTTCTTGTACTTAATCCAAACGGTCCTGTATTTCAGTCTTTGTTACATGACCCCAATCCCAACAGTCCCGCAAACAATGAGGCGGCACAGAAATACAGGGAAAATAGGCGGGAATATGAGAAAAAAGTGGCACAAATTGTGCAACAGAGCTGGGAAGAGGAAGACGATGACGATTAGTCTATGGCCATATTTAGCATAATTTTATCTTAAGTTTATACCAATTGTGACCAAAATTCTTGTACCAAGACTGTGTTTTTTGTGGTAAACTTGGTTTTAATCTCACCATACAAGAATATTGTCAGCGGTGTAAACAATATATTTAGATATTTGCCACAGGTCCACATATATACATGCACTAAAGTTAAAATACATATTGAAAGACAGTTATATGATATACCAACCAATCCAGTAAATCATGTCACCCATTGGGTATGATGTCATCTTTCAGTGTCAAGGCAACAATGGGAATAACTACAAAACAGAAATTGCTAATTTTCAAAACTTTGTTCAATTTTCTATAACATTGTTACCTGCAAAATATGACATGATGAGCCAATGTAGTTTATTTTGTTAGCCAAAATGGGGCATGGTTTATTAGAAAAGTTAAGTATTCATATTTAGTCTACAGAGCGTTATATTATTAAAATCTTTATCTCAGATTTTTTCCATTTTCCCAGCTCTTTACATTTAAAATTTTATAAATGCATGTGGTTTGGAAAACTAAAATACTGATACATGTATATTGTGAGTGGTAGTTTTTCTCAAAGTATGTCAAATAGGGGTGTTAATCTTTTAATCTTACTAAATAAAGACATGTTGATATTATACCCATATTTGGTCTGAAAACAGATCTATTTTCAGATATAGCCATTAGAGTTGTTAAACCTGAAATTATGGTGAAGTCAGATCATATGAATAAATATTGTACATGATTGTAAAGTAATCACTATTATGTTACAGTACTCATGTTAAGATATTGTATATGATTGTTTGCCACACATGTTTTAATTGTATATGATTGTTTACGACTCATGTTTATAATTGTATATGATTGTTTGCTTATAATTTATTGATGAGTAAGTTTAGAAATGTTTAATTGTCACTTGCAATTAAGATGAAACTGGCTTCCAAAAATACCATGTTGATCATTAGCGTTTTCTACCTCTGAAGAGGTACACACCTCCCAATGTTATGATCATGTGACTCTTTGATTGACCAATTAGAATCTCAAGAAAAAAAGTTGGTAGTAGGGCACTGTCTGACTGTTGAAGGCAACATATGGTGGCAAGGTGAAATTACCTCACAAGAAATTTTCAATTTATATTTGTGTTCCAACTCCCTTGCGTCACACCCCGAAATATCACCCAGGTCTCATTTGTCCATGTAACAAACTAAGAAAAAAATCAAGGTTTACCAAGCTGAATTTTCAAAATATTCTCAGTTCATATGATCATATCAACCCTGAATGTTGTTGATACTATCACATTTGATCATTTCATCAGTAGGCATCATTTATTCAAACTGGGCATTCACCCACACTACCTGAAATAACCTTAGTTAACTTGCAATGTAAAATGTAAGTAATATTGGGAAGTGTAGATGGAATTATTCTTATAACCCATGAACCATTTGAGGGAGATAATTCTGTGTTATGGCAGTTTCATCAATCACTAACCAGAGCTCATTCTCATATATTTCCAGTCCCTCTTAGACGAACCCAACCCTAACAGTCCGGCTAATTCATGTGCGGCACAGCTTTATCAAGATAACAGGCGGGAATATGAGAAGAAAGTTAGAGTCGTTGTTGAAGAAAGTTGGGTTCATGTTATGGATTAGACCTTTAAAAATGACTGATCCCTTTCTCTGCATATTTGACTCACATAATGACTTAACAAAATGATGAGTTCCTTATTGGGTTATGATCTCATGCTGGGCTGTCCAAAATCCAAAATGATCGATCCAGTCTGTGGTATTTCATTTGAAGTTGAAATGTTTGAAAAATATTTTTAGTAAGAGTCTCAATATGATCATTCCCCTGCATAGATTTTTTGAATCATCATTCCTTAAAGCAGAAGTGTCTCAAAAGTCATAGAAATATTGTAGTTAAGTGTTTCAGTTGTGTCTTGTGTATAAAATGGTCCCTGTTTGTTCTCAAAAAATCATCTTGAATGATGACCCTCATTGAAAGAGAGAGATATTAATTTGAACTTTGACCACTCAGTATATAGACACACTGAGCAGTTCTTGGTATATGCTTCATCAGTTATATTCACAGGGTAAACATTAAAGTGAGATTCATAAATCATGTTTAGCTCCCCCTCTCTGATACTCTCTGTTATCAACTCCCCCCCCACACTATAGAATGGTTATCACATTGCTATGCCAATGCCATATGATCCTGACACAGCTTGTAAAGAAAGTGCTATTGTATAAGCATACTGTAAACCATGTTAATTTCACTGCATTTTCACAAAGGTTGTCTGAATTGTCTGAATTTTATATGTCACAAATTAATAGTTCCACTGGTAGACCTACCAATTTTCATTTTGATATCATGGTTTCATCATCATTGAAAATAATCCAAAATTCTAAATTCCTGAAAATGCGATGCATGAATTCAACATGTTTTACAGTACAGTATATAGTTGATGGTTACCATTAGCCAGGGTAGTGTGTATATGTGCTCCTCGTTACAGACAGTGTATTTTTATGCTCTGTTGATATTTGTGTACATGTATAGCATTGTTCTGCCAATGAGAATTACTCCACTATACAGTAAAACCTGGATATCCAAACACCTCTTCAATCTCTCAGTGTGAACACTTCATTGAAAGGTTAAAAATCTAAAAATGTAAACACTTGCCAATGGCAAGTTCCAGTGGTGTTAGGATAAGACAAGCTTTACTATGTGTATTCATCATCCAATGGTCAGATATTTTAGAAAAGTTATGTAACAAGTGTTAAACACTAGTTGAACACGCAGTTTCACTTCTAAATATAGTTTTACATGGAGCTCCTGCCCCCTCCCCAAATAGCTATTGAACCTGTGTTAAAAAGAGAATAGGGTAGGGGTGAACTCAGGTGCCTGTTGCAAGACTACAAAGTGCACATGTACTTAATATTTACACTAGAGTACCAATGCACTTAGATTTAACAATGTATTCTTATGTGTTGCATATTGTCATTGACCATTTTGTCCCATAGCTTTATCCCATAAAATGTGACCATAAGATACTGGGATGTTGATAGGATTCATTAAAAACAATGTAACAATTCTTTATTATAAGATAGTTAGGTAAAAAATACAATTTTTGAAATTGCCAAATGATCAGTTTTTGTCACTTAGATGAAAAAATGGGTTTAATTTAAGTGTTGTCAGTCATTTTAGTTTCTAGCATAAGTTAATAAAATAAGCCTAGCATACTCTGATAATATTTGATTCTAAGGATGCAAAATTTGGAAATTTCTGTTTTTCAATGACATGTACTGTACAAACAAAATTATGTTTGTATAATTTATTTAATTAAGAGATGATATGAAGATAATTAATGATTTTTAAGTGTCCATGCTGTCATTTCATTACAAAGATATGAAAATTCCTCTAGAAGCAAAGGTGCAGTTTCATTTTCGCCAGTTTGTTAAAATTACTGATCCTCGAGGTTATTGGTGTGCTAGAGGTAATAATAGTGTGCAAGTTAAGTGTGCCAGTTAATGGTGTGCAAGTTATTGAGATGGAAACTAGGTGTGCACATGTTGCTTACAGATTGTAAGATAATGCTTGTATATTGTATATAAACATGTAATAAATTAAACTCATATATAAAACAAAATCAAATGTTTTGTGTGAATATTTATTACAATTCTGAGATTGACCAATTCCACCCATAGACCTTCGTCTATACGAGGGTTGATCATTAAGTTCTCATATTATCTCTCTAATGTCTTTATTTTTCAATATATGAGTTCTTGATCCAGGGAACAATATTCAGTATACCAGATATATCTAATAAAAATGGTTTCCATAGCAACCAAACCAAAAAATCAAAGAACCTGGGGCAAACATAACGCCAACTGCCAAGCACCATCTACAAAAAGTTGGAGGCAATAACAATATGCCAGTACTAGTAGTGACATAAGGATTGAAAATGTATATCATGGTAAAAGGGGCACTCATCCTTTGAATGCTGAGGCAGTCCCATTTGACTGTTTGTACTAGTCCTTAACAATGATCTGTTTGTTACATATCTGTTTTGTAAATAGATGGGCAGTAATACTTGTGGATACACTGTGCTGAAAAAGCGCCACCTGAAGTCCCCATTGAAAAACCTGTTTGTGTTTAAAAGCTTTTTATTGGAATTACCAATTTTCAAAAATACCCCAAACAACATTGTGAGATATCACAGCCTTCTCTCAGTTTCCTTCAAGAATCATTCATGTGCATGGCAGAGATGGTCTGAGTATCAGAATGCCCAAACTATAACTGTTAATGTTGCCAACCTTTTGAAGCATACGCATGGAACTGAATATTTTTGATTTGAGTATTTGATTTCAATCATTAGTCTCATTTTATCTGCATCAGCAGCACATCTTCACCAGAGGACTTTCGACGTGAACATTTGAACATCTCATTCAAATCTAGATTATTTGCATTATTCTAAAATCATGAATGAACTGATTAAATCTTTCAATAGAGATTATTGTTATCCCAAAGAAACAATTAGCTCTATAATCAACAATATTTTTACCTGTCTAACGTGTGAAGGTGAACTCACAGGGTGGGGAGTAAGGCTTGATGCTGGATATAAATATTGGTGAACTGCTTTATTGAACACCCCTCATACACATAATCAGCTTTATGAGGAATGGAATAAATTATGTCAAATATTTTAACATGACTCAATATGTAATGTATTTCTATTTGAAAATATTTATTTACAATAATTAATTGCATTCTATTGCACTCTACCACCAAATATTTCACATATACTCAAATCCCCACATTTTGTCGGACTTTAAGTCTCATTTTAAATCAATTATTGATTCTATCTATTTTATTATCCTGGACATAACAAGGAATGTTCAGTTAGCTGCATTAGAAAAATGTTTAAGCTATTTAAAGAGTTTGATTTCATCTCCATGGTTTGAAGTAATTATCCTTTGACCTAACCTTACGCAAGTCACTGAATAGGTTGATCAAAATTTGACCATCCAATCACATGCAATCAGAACTGCTGTTATAGAATTCTACAGACATCCCTTCATTTGTTTGGGTTACCTTTTTGGCTCATCCTGTACATGAATTTGGCCATGCTTGACCTAAAAGCTGTCATTGATTCTATACAATGTATACACCTTCTCATCAATTTTAAAATGATGTCTGTAAATGCCCAATATACAATGAATCTCCTGATTTTACTCTGATAAAAGCATTAATGTCACAGTCTGGTTTCCAAGTCAATTTTTAACTGACGTTTTTGTATTTGTGTCCATGGTTTGTATTTGATATACCATTTGAAAGTTGTCTCAATTATTGGCACTCCTACAGGCAACTAATCATAGAAGTAGAGCCATTTGATATACCATTTGAAAGTTGTCTCAATTATTGGCACTCCTACAGGCAACTAATCATAGAAGTAGAGCCATTTGATATACCATTTGAAAGTTGTCTCAATTATTGGCATTCCTACAAGCAACCCAATCATAGAAGTAGAGCCATCTGATATACCATTTGAAAGTTGTCTCAATTATTGGCACTCTTACAGGCAACCCAATCATAGAAGTAGAGCCATTTGATATACCATTTGAAAGTTGTCTCAATTATTGGCACTCTTACAGGCAACCCAATCATAGAAGTAGAGCCATTTGATATACCATTTGAAAGTTGTTTCAATTATTGGCATTCCTACAAGCAACCCAATCATAGAAGTAGAGCCATTTGATATACCATTTGAAAGTTGTCTCAATTATTGGCACTCTTACAGGCAACCCAATCATAGAAGTAGAGCCATTCTTGACAAGATTAGGCCAGGCTTATATCATCTTTGGCCTCTGTGGCAAGCAGAGGTTGTAGTAAGCATTCTTATCCCAGAAACTAGTGTCCTTCCATCCACACCAACCCTGAAGATAAGTTTAATATGTAAAGATTATAAATACCCTCATAATGCGGCTATAAAATGGGGATTTCTAATAAGAAAAATGACGTTATAGTTGTAAATTTTATACATTCAAGAACATGTACTATATAAAACTGAACATATCTTATCACTTAGGAAAAGAAGTACATGTTAAAAGGCCTCTCTTATAGATGAAATACTGAGAGAATATTTGACATCTTCACTTAAAGCTCATCAAAATACAGAATAACTTTGACATGCTTATACATTCATATTTTTACACTTGGGCTTAGTAAGAATTTCACTACACACAGTACCTTGTCTTGTATAATCTTAAGGTCTTCTGCCCCTGTGTAATGAGGGTCCAGTATAAGGAACTTCAGATCTCCTGTGATGTCATTAAAATCTACTCCTAATATGGTATGTGCCAAAACTCCACCACCTGGAAGGGAAAATGTACATTTTTATATTCCAGCCATTGTTCAGTAGATGTAAATGCATGATGTGTGTGAAATATGCATATACTTATAAACAGGCAAATAAGAAATATAGTAAAATAACAGCGAGTAAACACAATGCAATTTGAGGATTCTATTTTTGGATATCTCATACATTCACTGCCCAGATTTTCATCTTTATGCAAAAAACTCTCAATGCAAACACTTTAAGCTGATTCCAACAGCATTCAATTCAAACAAGTTTGACGGTAGTTAACCGTGATTACCTATCATAATGGGAGTTCCTTGTATTGAGAAATGCATGGCCAACTCTCTCCCTTTATTTGCAAGATCTGCCCCACTTTGGACAAACATGATCTTGCACTGAACCTAAAATGTACAAATTGAAATAACGAACAGGAAATAATCAATCTTGTATCCATTTTCAACATCCCTATCTGAAGCTCAGTCTATGTGTAATATAAAGGCTTGGAACAGTTTACAGAGCTCTCCCAAAGACTTTCTCTCTGGTGTATTTTGTTATTTTTAGTGCAACATTTTTGAACTTTTTGTTCAACATTTTAAGATTATTTATTTTTGTGCAACATTTTAAATTGTAACATTTTTTATGTAAAATCCATACACAAACTGTATAAAATTTGTAGATACTTGTAATCAAATCAATACTAGTGCTCTCAAGATACAAATATTACCTCTAACAGTCTATCCAGCACATAGCTGACCTCCATTGAACCAATCCACTTTCTACTACCAACAAATGATGCCTCTTTATCTTTAATGTCCACTAGAGCCTACAGTATTACACAAAAAAGTATTAAGAGATGAGAAAAAATGTTGGTTCTCCAGCTGTTTGATACTGCATTACTGACATTTGTTTGTTTTTATTTTTCCTAATTCAGTCATATTGTTTTAGAGTGTCCCTGGCATGAGCGTCTATGTTCAACTTCAGTAATACATCCAACCCCTTTTCTAAATGGACTGTGTGTGGAAATGGGTTGATTGTGTACTTCTGAAGCCTGAACCAAGAGACCACAGTTAGTAAAGACCTATATTAAGTACCTTAGTCCCCCCCCCCACTGACAGCCCTCCCTTACCTGTTGTATAGCCCTATGTGTGGGAACAGGCTGATCTGTGTACACCTGAAGTCTGAACCAAGAGACCACAGTTTGTAGAGACCTATATAAAGTCCCCTAGTCTAAGTACCTTCATCCCTCATTGACACCCCTCCTTTACCTGTTGTATAGCCCTATGTGTAGGAACAGGCTGATCGGTGTACCCCTGAAGTCTAAACCAAGAGACCACAGTTTGTAGAGACCTATATTAAGTCCCCTAGTCTGAGTACCTTCCCCCTCATTAACACCCCTACTTTACCTGTTGTATAGCCCTATGTGTGGGAACAGGCTGATCGGTGTACCCCTGAAGTCTAAACCAAGAGACAACAGTTTGTAGAGACCTATATAAAGTCCTTTAGTCTAAGTACCTTCCCCCCTCATTGACACCCATCCTTTACCTGTTGTATAGCCCTATGTGTGGGAACAGGCTGATCGGTGTACCCCTGAAGTCTAAACCAAGAGACGACAGTTTGTAGAGACCTATATGCACAACCCCAGTGGTTATCATCAAACCTGTCTTGCATATAATGATGATAGCTGTACCTTCCTTGGACAAGATATTGTGTGCCTTCCTTAACTGCAAGAACAAAATAACATCTACAGGTTTATGTGTAAAGAAACACGTTTTGGCATTTCTTATATAATGCCAACACAACAAATGTCTCATAAAGCAGCAACAGTGTAAAGAAAAACACTTTTTGGCATTCAATTATTGTAATGGCAATGCAACAAATGTCTCACAAAGCAGCAACAGACAAGACTGTCAGCCACTGTCATCTTCAGTTATGGTACATTGGACATCTGTTACTTTTCTATCTCTCAAAATGGCTACTAGGCATAGTAGGCATAGGCATTTAGTCTAAGTATTGTGTATCTATTGCTTCCACATTCATGTACATGTATTTACAAGTATGGATAAAAACACTAAATTGGGATGATAAGGATAGGATTTTTCCATATTACTGGTTATATGTTGCTTTTCTATTTTTACACACTATGTTTTGGTCTCTTTAGCATTTCTGCTGAGGTATTCATCATTTTTTGTCTTACCTCCAGAAGGGGGAAGTCCTACATGTACATTATGCAAATAGCCAGCAGTGTCATTATCTTCAGGAAAATTGTATGCATTCATACGTCGGAATAATGGAACATCCAAGGAGAGAGAAAACTTCTGGTTCAATGTACGCCTCACTGGTTCTAGAATGAGAACAATTTTGCATATTTCATAGTTCTATCAGTTAAACATATTTTGGTTTGCTATTTGCAACCAAGAATAATAAGTCTAAAGTCTGCACAAAAAATATTTTAATGATTCTTTTTTAAAAAGATTTAAATTATTTGGTTTAGATTTTGAACTCGGAGAATATTCAGGATGACAATCCACATTAAAAGCATTATCTGTCTATCATCTATTCAGAATTATCATAAGTCTATATACATGTCATTAAGATAAAGCAAGCCATCATAGTTCATTTACCAAGTCTTTTCTCGGAGAGTCCCTGTGGGTATAGAGTTGTTATGAAGTGGTCCAGTCCAGCTGGCTTAAAGTGGTGAGGTTGGGGCACCAAGAACTCCTTGTCCTAAAACACATGAGTGTACATTTCTGTACTATACAGTAAAACCTGCCCTAGTGAACACATAACTCTCATGGATACCCTCACTCCCCACATATTCCATTGAGTTCTGAATATATTACCCTCGCTTTAGTGAACACCAACCAACACTGAATGTTTTTCAACGTACACAGGTATTACCATAAATGGCACATGTATGATTGTGGAATAGAGAAAATAGTACAGATAAATTAGATTACTACATCAAGACACTATAATAAACCATGTCAAACTAAAATTGGCATATGACACCTTTAATGTCTTTGCTGGTGACTGGGTCCGAGCAATACCTGTACTTACTGGTATGTCAATAAATGGTAATAAAATCTGTAATTAAAAACCTACCTCTTTATGAAAGTGAAACAGACACTTCTCCATAGCAACTAGCTGGTGACAGACACTACCAACAAAGAGTTTGGCAAGGTTCCCCACTGGCATGTTAGGATCTACACACACCAAGACATCCAGGGGAAGGTCTGAACTGATGTTTTCAAAATCACCTAAATAAGACAACAATCTTTAACTATAGACACAATGTGAGCAATCAAGGGTTTAAAAAGCAAAATTAGGTCAAATTGCTTCATAAATTAATGTGCGAGGTCTGTAAAATGGCCGGAGAAACTACGGCAACAGATTTCAAACAGTTGTCACTTTTTTGTGAGTACTTTCTAAAAAGATTATTTGGATTATCATAATCATAAATGAATGCTTTTTATATTTCAAGACTTGAAACTCGTTTACAGAAGTTTTCATTTGGCCAAACAGTTGATGAACTGACGAAGAAACAGTTTAAGAAGGGACATATTGAAGGACAGAGTGACAGATGGGTGGGTGATTCCATGAGTTTACCATGTAAGCCAAAAAAATGGACAATTCAAACAGAGTATCACTCACTATGTTCATGGTGTATTATGGGGCTGCAGTCTATGGTACGCCCAACAGCTTGGTAGCCAGTAACAGCAGTTAGTAGTGACACCTTTATCACAGACTGTGAAATAAAGTAATATACAGTTATTCATTCATTCATTAATTGGGATGCCATGTTGTGGATGTGGATGCATGATATCTCTAGAAGGAGGCAGACAAACTCAAAGAATGTGTATGTAACATTATTTAATACATATTTACGAGTACTATATAGCAAGTTAATACTACATGTATTATTTAGTGTAAGGTAATTCTATGGAATAAACTAAAAACAGCTGAATATATTCAGGTGCATTTCAACTGACATACTTACAAAGAAGGGAAATATGAGACTAATTTCAGTAAGACAAGATTGCAGGGTCATGATATAGGACTTAAGGTGTTTCAACACACATGGTATTCCATAGTCGACATTAGTAAATCCTGTGTCAGTGGAACACCTTTGATACCTCTACGTGTTCCACTTAGGAGGTATTCCACTAACAGGTCAACTAACATTAACCTCTTGAATCCCAGGCTCTAAAATCGGTTGAAACCAGAGATTTTTTTCATTTTTGCCACCTTTTGACATTATACTACATACCTATACAACTTCAGATGCTCAACTTAGTAAAATTAGATGGCAGAGATCATTTCTACATACTTTAAAACAATTTTTGTGTAAATTGGATGAAAATTGTTCAAATAAGAGCAATTTTAGTGAAAAATTTTGTGACAGATTTTCTCGTCACTCTGGGTTTCAAGGTCATTTCTGAGGTGAGGAGAAATCTTGTCACTCCAGAGAAGGTGTTCCAGAGTTGTTCCACTTTACAGGATTTACTGTACTTACTTTGTTTCTATGTTTCTTTGATGTGTTTTCATCATCTTCAGTTTGTATGTAATCATACAGTTTCTCACACGCAGTGTCATCTGTGATGGCAATTATGCTGAAATCATATTTATTACAGTCAAGCAGTTCAAAATGAGAAATTTTGTAATCTACTTTATTTCTACTGAGAACAGATACCAGGGGTGTAAACAGGATACAGGCTGATCCAGAAGTAACATCAAAGGGTTGCCATTTATTACTGCTGTACAGATTTTTCCCAAAAATTGCTGGGTTAATACCTGGAAAAGCTTCTGCTATTTGATTGGTCTATTACATGGTTACTATGGTAACCCGATGTATAGAAATGGCAACAGCTTTGGCATTACTTCTGGATCACTCTGTAGATTCTAGAATAGACTAAGGCAAACTTAAATTGGTGCTGCAAAACTTGAACCAAAAAGAGTATTATTGTAATGTAACTACCATGTGGAATAAAAGGATGAGTTGAAAGAATGTCTAATACAATTTTTTCTGTCATCTTTTCTTCTGGAAAATTGCCTTTGGCTTGTATTATTAATATTATGACTTTACTAAAATATTATAACTAATGTACTAAAATCAATCAGTTATTACCTTGATTCCTTTGGTGGTTTATCATAAAGAAGTATATTTGTGTCATCAATGTGAAACGCTGTTACATCAGATCTTATTTTGTCTTGGAGCTCAAGAAACTGGGAGACAAAATCTTCAAATGCTAAAAGTGAATAAAAAAATTATTCAATTACTGATTTAAAGGGAATGCGAAGTTTTGTCCCTTAAACTTCATAATAAGTTAGAATAAAGATATATCTTTCAATCCAAATTAGTTTTATTGTTCTATCATTATCCTTTTAATTGTTATTAAGCCCCGGGTTTTGCATATGAACTGGACCACGGAGCTGCCATTTCAACCGTAAAGTGGTTCTTTACGACATTGTTATGACGTCATTGATGCCAGATTGATGCCTTGGCATTCCAAAAGTTTTGTGGCGCCATTTTTGAATCAAAAAATGAATGCCGAGTTGTTGCCATTCCAAAGCCAAAGAAATCATTTCAATGGAACTAAAAGAATACGTATATACCACCCATAATAAAGAACGATTTCAATAGAATATTAACGCCGGCATTTTCGGAATTGCTTTTTACCTATCTAGACATGGAATGCGGGTTAGATTTATTCTTTATTTACACTTGAAACAATCTGGGATTCGTGACTTTTTAACTTTTATAAGGTCTAGCGCTAAATGCAAACAGAGAATGCTAATTATATCAGGCGAATGCAAACTATTTGAATAAAACATAATAAAATTAATTCAACCAACCCATCTTGAATTTCCAAGAATGCAATGGTTTAATTTGCTAGTCTCATTACAAAAATACGTGTTCGTACTTTAATATTCATTGCATTTATGTTTATCTTTAACACAGGTATTCAAAGAAATTAAGATTTTAAAATTAAATTTTAAAACTGTATTCAATTACTATCATGGATTCTTAGCCTCACGTCACATTTTTACGGGGACCGTACGGTCTATCATTTCTGTGGTAAGTAGGATTTCTACGGTTGCCTAAGTATTTCTCCAGTCAGATAATTTAGCAGTCACATTTGCTAAGATAGCCGTACGGCGTATCTTGATTATGAGGAAAAACTACGATAAATGCTGATAAATGATGACGCACGATCAGCGTAGGGCGGCCCTACGACGTGCGTAATTTTTCTTGAAGGCATCCACAAGGGGTTCTATGGTTCGGAAAGGTTAATTGTAACCTATGAAATCCAAGCGCAGTCGCAAGTCGACCGTGAACCCGACGTATGGCCGTCGTGAGACCTAGGTCTTGTTGATATCTATGGTGACCAAAGGAAAGAAAAAGTTATAACTCCGACTCTACGCCTTGTAAAAACTGGATATGTCGTGTACGTAGACAGCAAGGTGACCTTAAGTCGACTGTAGTTTCCCTATGTTTTTTTACTGATTTCAGGGAAATACGATCGATGTGTGGTCGCATTGAACAAATGTGACTGAAGGTTTTAAAGTTCCACTTATTTTCCGATATAGAAAAATAAAAGATTGTATGCCATTAAATTGAAAATCATTATTCCGAAAATACTGTAGAACTGTACTTACCACGGATGTTATATAATTAAATTCGAGCTCGAAATCAGGAATTGTTTTTAAAAATAAATATATAATAAAATAAATATTAAACTATTGGCGTACTATCAATACGGCAGTCGTTGAATTGAAATATCATACTACAATCGACCTCATCGTCTCCCCGCATCACTGAATGTTATGAGCTTTCTCTTGTCATGATCCAAGGTGAAATACCATTGAATTTTGAAAAGCTTTTTTTGTCATATTGAATGTCGCTACGGTGATATGATGATTGAAATTGTTCGTTTAACAACTGAGAAAAATTAAACATTACGTATTATTCTTTGAAAATATGACAGTGGCATGTCCTTGTAAAGCAATTGCCAATCTTAATATTTAGGAGATTGACATTTACATACGTATCATTTAGACGACATCGATTTTTCGTTTTTTTGTTTGCGTTTTTCATCAGCATTTAAATGGCTAAACACTTTAGGGAGTTACTGTTTCATAGGATTACTACTTTTTGTTTTATTTCTTTCATTCTCCAATATGCACCTATTCATATTTGAATAGAATACTACAGATTGAAGAAATCTACCATTTATGATTAGGTAAGAAAGCAATTGCGGTATGCCTATTTGCCGACGTAAACCTAAGGTTAATAGTGATGTGCCGTAAATGCTCATCAGCGCATTAATGAACATTAGCATAGATTTTGATATTTTAAATGGTATGTAGTGTATTTACATAAATATGGTAAATGCAACTATTTGTTGGATTGGTTCAGCTGATGATATAACTTACTTATTTTCACCACAAATACGCCAACACATTAGCCACATTTATCTTAATAAATCCCCATTGATGCACAGTAATGCATTTATGTGTAAATGCCATTTGTATATTTTAATGCATTTACCTCATTTATTGGTTAAATATACAAGAAAGCATTTACAGGATTTGAACAGATTTATCCTTTTTGACCCAGTGTTATCATTATATAAAATAATTCTAGTGGATATTTTTCAAGTGGAATATAATGCGATGACTTCTGAATCGCGCAGCCGATATCTCGTAAGTTTAGTGATTTTTCTACCTAGCCTATAAACTTACTATATCACATTGGAGAAAATAAATACAAACATTTGAAAAAAGACATTGCAACAATTCAATTTCTATGAAGAATATACTGAAACAACTTTTTCAAATATATGATATGATATGGACATGAACATGCGGCAACAATGTTAAGCGGACAGAAATAGTTATAAAATATCAGTGAAATGTGTTATATTTCTGCGATCCGAGTATGACGTGATTATATAGCGACATTTCCGAGGCATCAATTTTAAGGCATCAATGACGTCATTGATACATAACAATGGCGGCATCCGCAGCGATCCAGATATGGGTACTTTGAACTTGAATTATATGTTAGTTCAAACACGATATGTCCCATGAGTGAGCTGAAGTGATAGATGATGGTTATAAGTAGCCAGCGTGTAAATTAGAACATGAAACTTCGCATTCCCTTTAAGACATCTAGAATACATATACAAAGTTGAACAGAAAGTGTTCAGCTGAAAAGCACTGTACTGTAATAAGAAACAAGGCATTAGACATGCAAAATGTCACCACCTGACATTTGTTACAGCATCAACTGCCAAACACTAACTGCCAAACACCAACTGCTGAATGCTGAACAGAAACCACCAACTACCGGACATAGACCATAAAAAGTTGGTGACATAAAAGATTTCCATATACACTGTAGATGACATCGAAGGTAAAGTTAGTCTTATTCTTCATTTAAAACCAAATCAAACTAAAAGAGTCCCACCTACAGAAGTTATAATTTGAACTATTTGATCAGACCTTTGGGGAATGGGATACTCCTTACAATTTAAAGATTTGTAACTAACCTCTATTTGAAAGCATGTATTCAAAGGCAAGGGGGATGTTTGCCTGTAGTCGCAGTGTTATTGTTTCCTTGGGTTCATCCCTCCATTCTACTTCGGCTAACTTAGGAGTCCGTTCTTCAATGCTATACCTGTAATACATGTATATTATAAATATTGTTAGGTTGTTGTTGTAAATTTGTTGTAAATATATACATTAATAATAGATGGTTATACTCTCACTAAAACTGGCTTTTAAAAAATTCAAATGTGGTGTAACGTAAGCAAAAGTGCCATAAAGGTTAAGCAGTAAAATGTACACTGTATTCACAAACATAGGCAAAAAAGGAATATTTAGGTACCAGAAAAATTGCAAGCATCCCTAACAGTGATGTAGCATACAAACAAATGATGTCTACTGTAACACTCCATCCAATATTAATCAAAGCCAATATCATATAAAGACGTTTATTCCCTTAACAAAGGTATTTCTGTAACCCTACTATCACACCAAACTAGTTCTCACTACGTTCTCGAAAACGGGCTTCAACTGTGTACGAACGGACTGGACGTACTAAGAACCGTTTGGGATCTATTTACAAACTTCATCGAACGTACTCGAACGGGTAGGTCCTCTAGAACTTAGACAATGCTCAAAATGTTCTCGTGGTCGTCACGTTCTACAATTAGAACGAGTGACAACGTACTAACGACGAGCTGGACGTACTACGAACGGAACCGTCGTACTTCAATCCTACTAGGGACGTTTTAACAACGAGTTGAACTGTCTGAGGACGTGTTGAGAACGAGGTAGAACTCATTGCAAACGGGTTTAAACTGATTAAGAACGTATTTAACACTGCTTATGAACGAGTTAGCAAAAATATAGCTATCACACCAAACAAGTTGCCACTGCGTTCTTCAAAACTGGTTCTAAACTATGTGCGAACGGAATGAACGTAGCTGCAACTTTCTAAGGTCTATTTACGAACTTTATGAACGTTCTCAGACGGGAATGTGATTTTAGAATTTTGAATCGATTCAAAATTCGATTGCGACCATACCGTTCTGTTATCAGGTCATGATGACCTTCTAGACTAAGGGACGCGTTCCACGGCGTTGCACACCGACGTGGTGCGACCTGAACGAACTGCGAACGAGATGGACGTATTGAAGACTGTTTAAGAACGAAGAAGCTAATTATTTCAGACATATTTCCCGACCACAGCCAGATTGAGCCCGTTTTACGACGTTTTCGTAGGACTGGCAAGAACGGGTAAGAACGAGTTTGGTGTGATAGGGGGGTTAGATGAAATTATAAATAATCAATCCACTACTTGCCAATAAAAGCTGTCAGTAGAAACTCTTTCAGTGTTCATCTTTGAGTGACACAACAAAATACTCTCAGAGTCAATTTTATCCTAAAAATATAATTTAAAAAACTGATCACAGTATAGCACCCAAGGGTACGGTGAAAGACATTTGTTTAAAAGTTGTAAAAACAAAATGATTATTGTTATAAAGTTTCTGCTCCTACTTAAACAGAAACACTTTTGACACAAATGGTAGGTGGTGACATTTTGCATGTTAATGACTTGTTTATATGGATGTTTTCATGTAACTAACCGATAATGCAGTTGTATGAACTTGTATCGAGTCATAATTGAAATAACTAAACATATCTTACAACTAGGTCCTGATGTAGGAGCTTGGAACAGGCCTTGTTCACATTCTCTCCACCAGGAGGGGTAGCAGAGCTGTAGAATATCCCATACACTTTGATGCCTGGAAATATACATGTAAATCTTGGGTGACAATTACCTGTTACACAAAAGTAACTCTCATTCATTGGCTTTTAACATTGGATGAACAAAGAACCTGTCCATTCTAGTATTACTTTATTACATATGTGAAATTTTAAAGTTTATTATGATACATTCTTACATGTCACATTGCTAGGCATTACAGTTGCCTTTGAACAGACTGTATCAAATTCAAGGTTCAAGCCATTTTTAGATTTGGTGAAATTGATTACCCTCATTTCAAGTTGGCAGATGAATGAAAAACCTATAAAAGAGTGGCATAAGGAATATGAAGACAGGTGCTAAGTGTTGATTTAGTTTCAAAGGGTTTATGTAAAAAACCGGGTGACCGGGTAACCGGGTAGCCAGTCGACCGGGTACCTAACTTTCCTAGCAGGGTTACCAACTTTCAAAGTTCCACATTTCCCTCGATATATAGTAGCGAATTGACTTGACAGACTTAGCCTACGGAGTGCACTGCTGTTCGATATTTTCACCCTATACGAGACAGAGCACTTTTAAAAATTATCCATCCAGCAAACAGTGACGTGACCCATGTCACGTTGTTCATAAGTAGCATATAAGTTCCTAGAAGACGTTGCACATTTTCGTTCTTTACACATCGAGGCAACGTAAACATGAGACATCTATTGATGGTATAAAAAGAATGTTGTTGCAACGTGTCCGTAAAGTTCGTTAGAGTGGAAAACATAACAAACAGGAACGTTTGATTTTTTACTACATTGGTCCATATGTGACGTAACTCAAACGTTAAAATTCAACGTTGTCAAAACAGGCTTTTAATAGCAAAATATTTGTTGGTGGAAAAAAACATGACAACAACTTTGTGTTCTCACTAAGTCGGTTCATTTCCGACGTATTGTTAATGTTAAAATTTAACGTTGTCGAAACGTTTTTTCTATTTGAAATAACCTCAAAACGTGACGTCAATAATGTCGTTTGTGGACTGAATTATTGATCTGACGTTATTTAAATATTCAGCAAAACGTCGATGGCTGGTTGAACTTCAACATTGTGGAAATGGCTTCAAAATATTTGTGAGTTAAGGAAACGTTACAAAGACGTCAATATCTTCTCACTAAATCGGTTCATTATAGATGTTATTTTAACGTTAAAAGTTAACGTTGTCAAAACTTTCTTACGATGTGAAATAACCTCAAAACGTGACGTCGAAAATAACGTACATGTATCGCCCAGATCCAACGTTATAATAAAAAAAAATCCTAACCCTGCTAGGAACATTAATTACCCGGTCACCCGGTTTTTCACAAAAACCCAGTTTCAAAGTTTCCTTGCAAAAATTCAATCTTTCAATGAAGTGACACTGTACAAAATATTTTGCAATGTGTCATAAAAATAAACATATGGATGATTTAATCCACTTGTGTTTTGTATCCTAGACTTTGTATAAAAGTCTTGACATAAGACATTTGAGCCAGGCCACAAGAAAAGGGGTCTTATCACAGCTTTTTTTAATATACTGATATTTTGTTTATCTTAAAAATCACAAAGACTCACCTTTAAAATGAGTCATGGCTTATGTCTTAACAGTTTTTCCTCGCATATATAGACCAAAAATTGGATTTGAATTAAGCAATTCTTTTCTTAATCTTGGGCACATTTTTGGCTCTGTAGCACAATTTTAATTTTTGTGATAAGACCAGTTTTCCTATGGCCGGGCTCATTTGTTGTTAAATCATCCTACAATTCATTGAGTCATTTAATATATCACCAATTATTTGCAAATCAAATTATGGTATGCAAAGTTTGAGATGAGAATATTTTAGAAATGTTATATAACATGAAGAACATTTTCAATTTTTCTGATAATGCACAAATTACCTTAAATATTTATAGCGAATAACTGAATTGTCTCATTACACTTCCAAAAAACATGTTTAATTTTGATGTTTGGATGCCTTACAGACATCATCAGCAGGGGCAAGCCATAATTAAACTGGAGATGACAGTCAGCAAAACTTTATCATATTATGTAAAGTTTTTTATGAATTAGCCCAAGCAATCGCTACTGAATTATCTTAAATTTTCAAATAACATTTCTCCAATATTCTTTGCTTTCAATTCTTTTTGAAGTGCTGAACTAGATGTACAGTTTGGAACATATAAATGACAGGTGGATTTGCTAAAGTGAGGATTTCCTATGGTTAAAATTGAGAGTATTTTCAAGAGGCCATACATCAGTGGATGAGATTATACAAAATGTAAGATATGCACATTTTAAGTGATATGTATCTAGACAATATTGGAAATTCGAACATGACTGTATTCGTGCCTTCTATAGACTGTGAACAAAGTCAACATTTCACCCGGGGCATATTTGCGAGCAATACCCCTGGTAATACAAGTAATGTGTGATAATGTGTCATAACGGCGGGCCATATTAATGGCGGACCATAATGAATATTCGTAACATTTGGTGAGTTTTCAGTTTTTTTTGTGCCTACAATGTAGCCCTGTGGGGTCAATTCGACGATATTACCCCTGCTCTTCAGTCTATATTTCTTAAATCGAACATGACTGTATTCACGCCTTCTATAAACTGTGAACAAAGTCAATGTTTCACCCGGGGCATATTCGAGACGAGATCAATGCCCTGCCTCTGTACTAAGTCCTGCGGGGTGTATTCGAAAATAGTAGCCCTGCTCTTCGGTCTATATTTCTTAATTATGGGCTTTCAGATGACCATGGTTAGGAAATGGTGAGAAAAAATCCACCTGTCATTTATTTATGTTCCAAACTGTAGTACATACAGTAAGCTGAAACTCAACTTTATTCAAATGCATTTACCTCCAGGATAATAAAGTGAAACCTCTTCTATCTCATCAATGAGAGGTTTAGTACAGCGACAACAACCAACGATTTGTATCCCATCTCTGTGCTCCTGTCCTAACAAAAATCCAACAGATGGCTCTGTGGTTCCAACAAGAACTCTTTCCAAGCTCTGGAAAAAATATTTAAGTTTAATTACAGTACTGTCAACCCCTAAAGATTTTCTCGCGGGACAGATTTTTTAGACCCAGTGCCCAAAATTCGTGGGATTTTGCGGGACATCTACTAAATTCGCGGGATTTCGCGGGACATTTAAGGGATTTGCGTGATTGCGCTAATAGGCCATTTTTTTTATCAAATTCGCGGGACCATTCGAGGGACAAACACCCTAATTGCGGGACAGTTGACAGGTGTACCACCAAAAACTTCATAGAGGGACAGATTTTTTAGACAAAGTGCCCTAAATTTGCGGGATTTCGCGGGACATCCACCTAAATTTGCGGGATTTCGCGGGACATCCACCTAAATTTGCAGGATGTCCCGGGACATTCAAGGGATTTGCGTGAATGGGACTAATGTAAAACCGTGTAAAAGTACTTAAATCAAACTTTCAGATACTGATTAATCAAATATAATGCACCTTTACATTGTAACTTAAATAAAAGTCAACACAATTTCACAAAATACGCATAGGAATATTATTAAACTTTATTGTAATTTATCAAAAACAAAAACCATGCTTCAGGTGTGAGTACCGTAACACGAAATTCAAAAATTCGGAACAATGATATAGGGGTTCAATTAATCTACATCAAATTATAGGGAATGAGGTTACTTTTCTAGATAGGGTTTGTAGAAAAAACCGGGTACCGGGTAGTAAATGCTCCATGCTGGGTTCAAACTTGGTACCCGGTCGAAAAAACCGGGCCGGGTACCCAAAAAATGAAATATGCGAATATACAGCATAATTAGATCATTAGAAAAGGTGTAAGATTTGTTTTGAATTTACAAAAATGTATGTAACATCCTTCAAAATTGAGCTAGAAGCTTCAAATAAAAAGCATATTTTAAGGCTTTTTTCTTCCTCTATCATCATGGTCATATTTCCATTGGTAATGAAGGGGAGGGGGGTGCGATCCCCCTCCTGGCTACGCCAATGACATTGTAAGACGATTTGAAAAACAAGACAAATCAATCTTACTCTATTTTCAATAGTTCGTATGTTGGTACGTGAATTGTTTTGATTATGATTTAAATCTGTAAATAGCTATCGTTGCTTTAGCAGATAGGTGACGTGTGTTAATTTACATGATTCAACGTGTAAGATTTTGATTATTAATCATAATTTAAGTTATCCCAATTTCCGACAAAATGTCCACTGAATTGTAAATTGTTATGTCTTACAATGTCATAGGCGTAGCCAGGAAAGGGTGCGATAGTGCACCCCCCCCCATAACCAATGAAAATATGGCCATGACGATAGAGGAAGAAAAGAGCCTTAAAATATGCTTTTTATTTGAAGCTTCTAGCTCAATTTTGAAGGATGTTACATACATTTTTGTAAATTCAAAACAAATCTTACACGCTTTCTCATAATCTAATTGTTATAATTATTCGTATATTTCGTTTTTTTGGGTGCCCGTTTTTTGACCGGGTACCGGGTACCAAGTTTGAACTCAGCATGGAGGATTTACTACCCGGTACCCGGTTTTTTCTACAAACCTTTCTAGATATCAGCGTCCATTTATTGTAACTCGCGTTTGCTAACATTTGCTCAGTTCTGAGATGAAGGCCACACGGGTAGTAAAAAGGGCAACGTTGGAACTATTTGTGACCTACGTCCCTATTTTCGTAATTAAAATGAAAGTTAAACCCTTCCCCTTTATTTTGATACCAAACAACAGCATATGCTAGGTGCTTAAAATTAGGTAAACTTCTCAAAAGTGCAAAAACTTAGCTTCTTATATAAGATAAGATAATCACAATATAGGGGATTGCAACAATTTCGGAAATTTGCGGAGGTCAAAGCCACATTTGCGGGACTTCGCGGGACATTGCGGGACACGCGAATTAGCCTAATTTTGATCAAATTCGCGGGATAATCCCGCCATTCGCGGGACACTTGACAGCTCTGTAATTAGATTTTGTTGATCTTAAATTAATATAAAGGTTGTATGACTATGATAACTGTGTCGATTTAAAAATGTCAAATATTCTTTGCTGTAGTCTAGAGTCCATTTCACTGCTTCATTTCGTCAGTAGAACAGCAAAAATAAGAAATTGGGAGACCATTGTGCAATAATATATGGAAAAGTATATTCATAATGTACATGAATGACATTTGTATATTTCAGATTTTTTAGTTTTTTGTGCAATAAGCCTGTGCCGTCCCGTCTTGTAATTTGAAGAATTTCAGCCATGTTAATCTTATTGAAAATAACATGGCAGAGAAACATCCAAATATAAGAGGCCACACACTTTATAACACGCGGTAGTATCTCTTCGGGACGTATCGAAACCACTCCGTCCCGAAAAAACCGTTAATTTGAATTTAAAACCTACCCCAGTGTTTGAAAATCAAGGATTGTGAGTCTCACACTTCACCGTTTTTCTTCAAACTTGTTCCGTACAAAGCTTCACAGAAATACCTTTCAGTCGATACATTGTTTTCGTGTACAAAGTACCTCGTTTTAGCGGCGTTTTGGTCCCCAGCTGTGAGATAAAGCAAATTTTCATAACTTTCAACTGTAAGTCAAGTTATCTCGTCAGTCTTTTACCCATTCTCGCCCATAATTTCAGAATGGACTCCCATTACAACCTTCCATCGCTACGTCTTGATTTTTGGGCATCAAAAGCAGCAGTTTCTAAATCATCAACACATCTCTTCAAATTTGACCAATACGTCCCGTCATCTTCCACTACGCCCCGCCGAGTCTATCACTATACACGTAGAGTTGCATTCTAAAACAATTTTTCCATCGATGTGTCCGTTTGTAGGTTGCCATTGTCATTGTCGATTCTAAATACCAATCGGATTGTGTTTTAACATGGGCTTTCAACTAGAGTTGAAAGCCCATGGTTTTAAGATTTACCCATTCTTGTCCATTTTCAATATACCTATAATAGGGTGGTCCAAAATCTCCCTAAAATTTAGATTTCCCGATATTGCAATATAAGTATTTTAATTACTGAACAATTGAAAATATTTTTAAGAAACGTTTAAAGTGCCCTATCCTTGAAAAAATGTTAAAATGCGAAAGGATGGGTGATGTCAATTATATTATTTTCAGCATAACGTTAGAAACATGTATCATTTTATATGGTACACGTTTCATAATGTAATCCAATGGAATCATACAGAAGAAAGGTCGACACACAACAGTTAAAATCTTTATATAACATTATATTTCTGACATCTTAACTGTATATAGATAAAAACTGTAAATTACAAAACTACATAAAATATTGTACAAATGTTGTACTAAATTATACTCTCATACTATGTACTCATCAAAACTGATGGATAAAATAAACATAATAATAATAATCAGACCAAGTCAGTAGATGTTGTTTATATACCAATTAGTGTTGTATGATGATGCATTCTTTATATGAATCTAGAAACATTTTTGTGCCAATATTGCTCAATTTTGATAACATCTCCGTTATTTTGAAATTAAGCGTGGCAAAGTTTCCCGATGGATTTAGCTAAAAAAAGTGGTGCCTGTAGGGTTATTGAAAATCATACATGATGAAGAAAAAATACATATTCCTGAAATACAACAGTTTAATTTTGAGTTATAAACCATTTATGAAAACGGCATATTTGTCAAAATTACCAAAACTTCAAGTGAGACGCGTGGCAAAATTTCCCAGGGGTCTAGAGTGGAAATATTTGTACCAAGAGTCAATTTGTAACTAGAATCTATCAGATGACAGATTTTTGGAAAATTTTTCAGATTTGGACAACCCTAACCTATAACTTTGTTGAACCTGAAGAAACGTATCAACTTTTTGTTAAATAAAGATAGCAAATTCAGCTGTCTACTGTACCTAACTTGTACTTTTTGCTAGTACTCAGATTGATGGATATTCTGTCGTATGACATGCGACAAACATATCAATTCTCATGGGTTTACATGGTAATGTCGATTTTCAAAAATTCAGATTTATCTTCCATATCCGATCTATTGTAATTGAGGAAAAACATCAAGAAAATTTGGAGGTATTGGGAATAAAGTCAAGTTATATTTCCGTCGATTTTATAAGTATTTCCCCCGCAGGTTATGTAGATAAAAATTCAAACATAAATAGGCTTTAACACAATGCTAAGGTTGCCAAACTTATGGAGGGGACAGTATCATGTAAAAGTATATTTTGTCACCAATTACACGAAACCTGCTACTGCATTATTGAAACTATTATCCCGGTAAAGGACCTGTTTCAGATTCTATTACCGCCTCCCCATGAAAACTCCACGTTTGTAGTCATAGACTCGGCGGGGCGTAGTGGAAGATGACGGGACGTATTTGTCAAATTTTAAGAGATGTGTGGATGATTTAGAAACTGCTGCGTTTGATGCCCAAAAACCAAAACGTAGCGATGGAAGGTTGTAATGGGAGTCCATTCTGAAATTATGAGCGAGAATGGGTAAAAGCCTGGCGAGATAACTTGACTTACAGTTGAAAGTTATGAAAATTTGCTTTATCTCGCAGCTGGGGACCAAAACGCCGCTAAAACGAGGTACTTTGTACACGAAAACAATGTATCGACTGAAAGGTATTTCTGTGAAGCTTTGTACGGAACAAGTTTGAAGAAAAACGGTGAAGTGTGAGACTCACAATCCTTGATTTTCAAACACTGGGGTAGGTTTTAAATTCAAATTAACGGTTTTTCGGGACGGAGTGGTTTCGATACGTCCCGAAGAGATACTACCGCGTGTATAAGCCAAACTAGAAGCAATCCAAGATATAAAAATGTCATTCATGTACATTATGAATATACTTTTCCATATATTATTGAAAAATGGTCTCCCAATTTCTTATATTTGCCGTTCTACTGACGAAATGAAGCAGTGAAATGGACTCTAATAAAAATTTTAATTAAATAGTAAATTCATGGGCGATAATATGTATATTTCAACATATGTTTACAAAATTTGACCTAATTCAAACATAATTCAGACAAATCACAACACTTGTGTGAATATTATGTATTGTTCTAGAATATATATCAAATGCGAATGGCTACATAAAAGAATTTACCTGCTTTACGCTTTTTAAAACAAATATTTGGTCCATAATATTTTTCTAATTTTTACACTTCCGGTTATGCGGAGTGATATTTATATTATTTTGTTACACAAATCTTGCATAAATACAAATAACTCTCAATATTTATGTGTACCAATTCAATATGTTTCATTTCATTTGAGTCAATTTTGTCAAATTGCATAGTATAGTGACAAAATCAATAAAATAAAATGTTTTATTGTTTAGCGGAAGGACCTGAAAAAAGTGTTCTTCGGTCGTCAAAATATTGAAATGCAGACGAATTTGTATTATTTCGAAGATAATGCATAAAATATGGAGACATATGGCATAAAACTAGAATGAGATCCAAGAAGGACCACCGCATAACATTTTCGCAGAGTTTCATATGTGGAGCTTTTGCTGGAGTCTCCAGTCGTACATTGACGGCTCCTCTTGATGTTGTGAAAATCCTCTCCCAAGTTGGAACTCTTACAACAAAGAGAGGCTTCTTGAGAACATTCCCAAATTTATATAAACAAGAAGGATTGGGAGCTTTCTGGAAAGGGAACCTTGTTGGATGCTTGCGTCTCCTCCCATATTCAGCGATTCAGTTTGCAGCATTTCAGAAAATCAAACTGTTACTTGCAAATGACCAAGGTCGCTTGTCGCCATTTAGCGCTATGATTGCAGGTTCAAGTGCAGGCATTATTGCAACTGTAGCCATTTATCCAACAGATATGGTGAAAACAAGGCTTATTGTTCAGACCATGAACAGAAATGTTGCACCATATCAAGGAATTATTGACGCCTTTCGAGTCATTTATGCGAGAGAGGGTATCGCTGCATTTTACAAGGGGATGTCTACATCCATTTTAGGTGAATGCCTCATTCTCGTTATATTCAGCATCAATGCCTCATTTGTTGACTTCATGCTAAATCTACATCACTATTTAATGTACTGAAATCACACAACTCGAGATATACTTCCAGGTGACCTGTTGAATGAATACATGTACATGTACATGTACATTCCAAGTAAACAGTTAATTTGAGACACCAATTGGTTTTACTGTAAATCTGTAAGTTTGAAATGATTGTAAATTTGAACTCATGTGGCTTGTACATGTTTGTTATTGTATTTCCAGGAGTTGTGCCATTTGCTGGGGCAACATTTGTAACATATGAGCTCCTGGACAGATTGTGGCATGTATCGAGAAGTCAACTATCCCCACTCCAGCATTTCATCAATGGTAGTGTAGCATCTGCAGTAGCACTGACAGCTTCATTCCCATTCGATACCATTAGGAAAAAGTTACAAGTACGTAAGTTCAAATGTGAATTGCACACATTATTATTTTAATCAATGCATTTGTGTTACTATACAGTACACCTGCATGGTTGGATGTATGTAAATAATTGAATTGTAAATGTCTGAATACTATCGTCCCATTATTACCACATTGTATAACTCACTTTTTACAGGTTTTTGGGATAAGTATACTATCTTTCTCAATTTTTCACAAGGAATTCATTTCTGAGGTCCATTTCAATGGATCTCATCTCCTTTTAGAGGTATCCCGTGCCACATTGTTATAAGTGCAAAATGAGGGAAAAAAATTTAAGCCCACCTTGTCATATCCATTTGGGTAGGCAGCAGAGCCAATCAGATACATAATTTTAATCATGTGACTTATAGTTATAACAATGTGGAAATAATGGGACAATCTCTTACTAGTATACTTTGCAGGTAAGAAAGGAGATCATAAATCATGACACCATACATGTAGTAAAAACAAAAGAAAGCAGATTTGATATTATTTGTAACAAAAAAAAGTTCGTTCAGTGAACTTAATCAATTACTGACCCTATTATAGCCTTTTTATCATTGTCATGTACCTTTTAAAGATCTGGTGGATTTATCCAAAATATTTACAATTTTTTGCACTTAAGTTGTAAGTTGTGTTGTTTTGGCAACCACTATACCAATCATGATCAAACTTGTAGCGACTGATTAAATATAGATACATAATCCCTAGAAATATGAATGTGATTGAAGATATATAACAGAAATTATTGATGATTATCATAGTACTCCCTCATAAAAGTAACCAGGGGGATATAAATGGCAATAATTCGCAGATGCTGAAAAACTAGACCCTATCATTTTCAAAATCAATGAGAAATGATATATTTCACAAAATTAACATAATTAGAAAAATGCAATCCTGTAAGAAAAACATGGACCAAGCTCATCCAGTACCTTATCAGTCAAAACGGAACACGAGTCATATTCTTCATAATTAGATGGGCAGAATAATGGTATACGAGACAATAACAAAATGGAAGTGAATAAAAATTCAGTTTTCAGGGTTATTTTGATATTTCAAAAACAAGAAACCATAAAAAAAGATGTGTTTTATTTATTGTTAATCAGTGATTTTTGCTCTGCAAGGCCTACATATACACAGGATTACCTAAACGAAAAAATAAGTTTTTTAAAAATTAGTACTCAAAAGTTATGAAGACCTAAACTTCAACCTCTGATTTCTCAATATCAGCGAAAATGCAATTGTAACAATGTGGAAATAATGGGACGATATGCTGAATACAGATGTGCCCTGAAGAAGATAACTGGTCAGTGTGTTCCAATTTATTGTGTTGTTGCATGCCATAGAGAAGAATGCAAACCATGTACTTGCATGCCTTGTAAAAGATGGCATTATGTTGCATAACCTATAGAACAATTGCAAGTCATCATGTTGATTGTCTTATAGAAGACTAGTGGTGAAAGCAATTGTGTTGCTTGCCCTGCAAACGAGTGTTGAATACACTCTACAAGATTTCAAGATTGCAAGTCATAATGACAGTAGCATTCCCTCCCTTACATAAATGAATTAAAGGAACTAAATGCGTATTATCGCGAATTGAAGTTTTAATTTTGATCTTCACACCAAAAACATCTCAAACAGACCACATCAGGGTTGACACTAGATTATCAAAAAAATATTCTTTATCTACCAATTTATATGTCAAGTTTTAAGCAATGCCAATGAAAGATGGCGAAGTTTTTGCATGACATTATTCATTGGTTTTTGGATAACACAAGAGTTATTTTAAACATACACTTTGTGAAAAGTGGTAATAAGCTTTTTTCAATCTCTGAACTTCAAATACTGATTTCTATGCAAGTCATTTTTTTCACTTCAGTATTTATTTTATCATATTTGATTGAGTGTGTGAGTAACATGTCTCACATTTTTTATTTTAGGAAATGATTCATTAGTAATATGAGCTTCTCTTTTCTCATTGCAGGCTCATAGTTCTGTGTTACCTGACAGAGGAAATGAAGCAATAATGAGCTTCTCCTTTCTCATTACAGGCTCATAGTTCTGTGTTACCTGACAGAGGAAATGATACATAAGTAATAATGAGCTTCTCTTTTCTCATTGCAGGCTCATAGTTCTGTGTTACCTGACAGAGGAAATGATACATAAGCAATAATAAGCTTCTCCTTTCTCATTTCAGGCTCATAGTTCTTGGTTACCTGACAGAGGAAATGATACATAAGCAATAATGAGCTTCTCCTTTCTCATTCTCAAAGTCCACCCGTGTAGCTCAGCGGTAGCGCATGTACCTCTTTCGCAATAGGTCCCGGATTCGATCCCCGGTTCAGGCAAGACTAAATTTGCTTGTTTGAGTGAAGTACTTCAGGGTGTTTGACTGAGTGGTCCGCAACTCGTACAAAAGGCTGTGGTGTGTACTTGTATGTCTATGTATAAGTGCACATGAAAGAACACAGGGCTCCTTCAAGGAGGGGTTTCTGGGTCTATCTTCCAGGTTAATTACGTAAATTACGACCGTATATATACGGGATATACCCAAGAGGTATTGCTCACCTTCATTGGTGGTAAACAAAATACAATACAATAAGTAATAATGAGCTTCTCATTTCTCATTGCAGGCTCATAGTTCTGTGTTACCTGACAGAGGAAATGATACATAAGTAATAATGAGCTTCTCTTTTCTCATTGCAGGCTCATAGTTCTGTGTTACCTGACAGAGGAAATGATACATAAGTAATAATGAGCTTCTCTTTTCTCATTGCAGGCTCATAGTACAGTGTTACCTGACAGAGGAAATGATACATAAGTAATGATGAGCTTCTCCTTTCTCATTGCAGGCTCATAGTACAGTGTTACCTGACAGAGGTGGTGTGAATGTGGAGTTTGATGGCATGGTAGATGCATTTCGGCAGACTGTACGACGGAATGGTATATTTGGCTTATGGTCTGGCTGGATCCCTGCTGTTATCAAGGTATCTGATCTTTAAATGATGTCCTTATATATGCTTAGTAAATTTTAAATGGTGATGAAGACCAAGATTCTATATGTGTACAATACATGGTTTGATATAATTGACAGCAATTTTCTATTATTCATTGTTAAGAATAAAAATCCTATAGTGACATTATTATTCAAGATAATCAAATGTCAATGTATGCCTACATGTATATGCTACGCAGAAAGATGTGTAAAGTGTATATATATTAATGTAGGGTTCATATTTTAAAGGCTGTATAAGGGGGTGAAAGTCTCATGCTTCTAAGTGAATATGTTATCAGATTATACCATAAAAGAAGTTCTATATTTTTAGATTGAACCACATGGAACTTATAGAACTCTTATATATGTACATGTATTTTTAGATTGTACCCTATGGAGGCCTGATGTTTGTGACATTTGAAGCTAGTAAGAGGTATTGCCTTTACTATAATGGCTACACGGAATCACCCCTCACATTACATCTCAAGTCTGGCGTAGATCAGAGCCTCACTCCCGGAAAACTGAAGTATACAATGGAAATGCAAGAGAAATACCCTGAAGATCTTGCAAAAGGGAAATAACTGATGACAATCTGATCTGATCCCCATCGGCTAGGTATACATATATTTCCACAGTCAATCACTTGCGAAGAGTTGGATAGAATGGAATGATTCACATTCATATAATGGTGGAACTTATAGATAACTAAATTCATGCTGATTAAGACCTCTATTAGTCAATCTCTTGTGAAAGGTTCTCTGGATAGAATGGAATGACTATTTAGCAATAATCTGAATTAATGTGCCATGCCTGCTGAATGGAGCACTTCTCTGTAAGAATGTGGAACAGTAAAAAACCAAGCCCCATTTGTATAATAAGACCTGAAGGACCACTTGTTTACAAGTTAAAGTTTTGGTCTGTATGTTGGCTGTTTTACATTACTTACAATGACAGGGTAACTACATATAGAAAAGATATATGATCAAACTAGCTGTTTATTAACAAATTAAAGTAATTTTAAAACATTGAGAAGATTGAATTTTTTAAAATTTTAACATTCGTTGTCTGCCTCTTACATAAATATGCTATGGATCTGAATTGATTGTTAAACTGTACATGTACATGTATTGCAAATGGAGTTAGAAATCTTGCTGTTTTATAATGCTCCCCATGTGATGTCAGGCCGTGACAATGAACAACATCTCATTCTGACAAATGAACTGGTAAAGGAGTGGTATCGATATGGAGAACTTTTTGAACAAACGTTTCTCTTAAACCAGTCATAAAAAATCTAAAAATTTAACACATCCATATACTGTATTCTGGTCACTTGTTTTGTTCTTGGTATCATGTTTCCAGAGTGAAATGAAACATCTTTCCAAACCTCATTGGAACAAAACAACATAAACACAACATGTTTAGGTCTCTCAAGAAAGTATCTTGTTTATGAAATAAAAGGTTTATCTTGATTTTTATCTATATTGGGGGGATTTTGTTTTCATTTTTTGAATACCTTTTTAAAATCAACCAAAAATTCCTTTGTATAACTGTAATATTGAGAGGTCTAAAACATATTGTATATGCTATCCAACAAGGTTCTGAAAGACATTTTATTTCATTCACAAGAATTGGTAGAAAGGAGCAAAAGCAATTGCACTCAAAAAACAAAAAATTTTAACAAAAACAGTTATGTAAAATATTTCTCAATAATTTTCACATTAAATTGTTGTCAATCAGTCAACATTACATAAAATACCATGTTTTTTACAGAATTGTTTTCAATGATTGGTTTAAGAGAAAAACATTGTTGAATTCAGTTCTCCATATCAATACCACTCCTTTCTAATCTTTTTAGACAAGATAAATCTACAATGAATGAAAGAATTTGCAAAGTTGCAAATTGTCAGGGGCACAGCCAGCTTTAAGTCTGGGGGAGGGGGTGCGATCGCCCAAAACTTCGGTTTTTAGTCCGGGGAGGGGAGGTCACGTGCGACTGTGGCATAAACAAGCCAGAATTAAGATTTATTTTGAATTTTACAAACATTGATGCAACTTCCTTCAAAATTGAGCTAGAATCTTTAAATGAAAAGCATTTTAAAGCTCTTTTCTTCCTCTTTCGTATGGTTTTATTTTTATTGGTTATGAGGTTAGCCCTATGTTACTATTTTTATCTGTTCCAGAATGTAGTGTTCAGTCGGTTCTAAAATTTCTGATAACGTGCCATATTGTATTTGCATTAAGTCGTCAAAAGCAAAAACACGTTCATATTCATATTTTTTGTTAATTTATTTAAAATATTTATTGGATTATAGGCTATTTATATACATACACTTGTATTGCTAAATACACAATATACAATATTCTAGAAGTCTTCACACTTGTATATATTTATATTATTATAATTATGTAATTATATGTACTCCCCTTATTTTTCGCGATATGTGAAATTTTTAAATGGAACTATAAACTAACTTCACTTACTTACTCAAGTTTTTTAAATTATTTGATGATGAATTCTTAATTTCCTGTTTAATATAATTGTTGGTGCCCAAATGCTATATTTCCTAAAATAATAAACTATTGTCTTTCAAAAGAAATAAAAGTTAAGGTAATAGCTTTTCTAGAACTAAAGTAATTATGTACTTCCAAAGATAGCAGGTATCGCGAAAACTCATTGAAATAAATGGAACGCGTAATTGAATTATTAACAATTTGAAGTTTAGCTCGTTTTTGTCTTCAACATTCATATTTCAAGAAGTACAACAAATAAGAATAGGTGCTTCCGAGATATTAGATAAATGCTCGACCATTATTATTACAAAATACTTTCGGTCCATGATTTTCCCTAGCAACCACATAGCAACGGAATATAAATCGACTTTGTGGAATTGAAAAAACGGTGGAGCGGGAGAAAAAACAAACTATTATCTAAAATTGGGAGAGCTTTATCATTACAATTCTGAAATCACAGCATTACATAGCATTAAGGAACATGCACAAAAAATGCAAAGGTATTTTTCAAGAAGTTTTATGTGACTTATGTCTGCCTAGGGGGGGGGAGGTATACTTTCGGGACACCCTGTATATACATATCGTCTAGTATGCAATAAATAAACTTTTTTATCCCATGATATTCATAACTCCTCATAAATCATCAGTTTAATATCAATAGTTTTATAATTTCTATGAAAGAAACCCAGACTATAATATTTAGTCTACTTTAATATGCCTTAGCCTAACTTTATGACCTTTTGAAATATAAAAACTTTATTGTATAACATAAACTTTAACACATCAATATAAAAATTAACAGTATGGTCATCGGGACATTCACTTATTGCTCAGTTTTCTATGGCGTTGACGTTGTTCGAGCATGATGATGAAATTACATTCGCCTTCTATATTCGTTTAATAGGCTTTTATAGCTTCGTTCTCCTTACGTTTCAAAATCTCAGACATGAACAACATTATTGCACGCTCTATTGACCCAACTGAACGAAATGGAAAGCTAAAACAATTCCAGGGGGTGAATACCATTCATGAGCGGAATTGGAAGGTGAATACGATTTTTGTGAGCGGAGTTGGGCGGGACAAAATGATTTTTTTCAATGTCAAATCTTTCTGTTTCACCTGAAACATGCTCTGATATTATGAGGCATATTCTGTCATCTGAACACATCAGATGGGAAGAGTTATAAGTTACTGTCAATAAGTGTGATTGTTATCATGTAATCATCTACCTAATATCAATACATTACACAATAGGCCAGAGGGGGAATAACGCCAGAGTTCAAAGATGACATACGCTTATAATGTAAACCTTTATTGAGATGACATACATCTCTGATTGTTCAAAAGTCGACAAACAAATGATGTCATCAATGGCGGTTTCAAAATTTACGAAATACGCTTCGAATAATGTTATGTTCATTTCTAGTGTGTTAACCAATATAGCTTCTCATTTCACATCAAGATAAAGAAAGGTGTACGGAATATGCCTATATCAATTAAAAACATCCCATCGAAGTGTAGCATTGGATAACTAGCCGATGAAAATTCGAACGAACGAAGGTGGTAAGCAAGAGACGTAATTATGTCTGTCATCTTTAAACTCTGGGGCTTCCCTCCTCTTATGGGATACTAGGCATTGTATTTAACAGCAGATATTACAACAGGCACAGTTACTCCAGTTTTATGACCCCAATTAGATGATATATGAGCTGGAGTGAAAGATCTCAAAAATCCTCAATTTTGGGCTCTCCTGGATCGCCAAATCAAGCTCATTATATCTTGGCATCTCAGGGCCTGAGAAGATTTGAGATGTCATGGTTTATGATGATGGTGTGGTGTTCATTTTATGGGTATGGTTAGGCGTGAAAACAAGTGTGATTTAAAATAGAATAAACGTGCAATCTAATCTAATAAGAATTCCGAGAAATTATTTTTTCTTTGAAAGTATCTTATACGAATTCCGAGAAATTATTGTTTCTTTGTAAGTATACGACGGACGACATATCTTTGTAGATATTTAATTCCCTGGAAGTCGTATACTTTCAAGGAAAATATGATATCTCGGATTTCTTTCATTAATTTGGGAAACTGTTCAAGTGTCTGGATGATACTAGATTAAGACAGTACATAAACAATTATATTATTACCACCTTGCCGGACCAGTTCTAGGGGATTTAGTGCTAGTTTAGAAGGCGTTTATTTTATTATATCGACCCAGAATGCAACACCGATATTCTGCAAAACAATCACCTAGCGATAGTCTGTTGGAGAGTATCGGGTCATTCTCCATGCAGTCGTACAAATTATACAGACACGAATAGCAAATGACGCATGCGTGGAGATTAAAGAATATCGAGTTGGAACCCTGGCTTCCAATCCTCCTTGATATCGACCTAAGCAATATGTGACGTCATAGTGGTGGTCAAGAATGCATTTCAGACCGGTGTAAAAGGGTAGGAGGTCCTGTCAACCTACTCTCCATCGATTTATATGGTGACTTAAATACAACTCTTTCCCTGATTATCTTATACGCAATCAGGGCCAGTAAGGGCCGTAAAGAAAGGGGACCATAATCCCTGGGGGACCATCATTTCTTTCTGCGGGCAATATAGTGAAATATTGGACCTTGGGCCTTCGGCCCTTGGTCGAATATTTCACTATATTGCCCTTCGAAATGACGTTATTGTACTATCAGTTTTGTCTATCGATGTGAAAGGCACTGTCGGATGTCCCTCAATTTGGCGCTGAACTGCGTTAAACAGTTAAGCGAGTTGTTGTCCGCGGATGTGCCATCTTGATTCTCCACCTTGTACAATCATCGGACCATATTTGAAAAGGAGGGGTTGCGTTTTCCAGATAATGGCGCGTAAATAACTTGCGTGGCCGAAGATCGCGCATCTTTCGAAGACGTTATTTGGTCACCCCGGAATAGCCTGACAACGCAATGTCAGATACTGTTGTCACAAATGGCGGACTAACCGTCGCTTCAACTCTTCAATCACTTGGTCCTCGATTCATTGGGGTTTATTGTCGCTAATTCTGTGCACGTATTAAGCTCTTGTGATGATGTATCATATGGAAATCCCAATTTCACTGGGGGGTATCGTGATGCAACAACACCGTGTTGATGCAACAACACCGTGTTGTTGCATCAAGATGGCCAGACTTCCGGTGATAGATTTTCGTATGATATTTTGTTTCCCCAATTTAAACCCATTTCTAGGACGAGTTTCTCAATAACCATACACGTGCAGTTAGCGCACGATATATATTTAAAGAAACTGTCATTAGTATACAGGGTGGTCCAAAAAAGTGAACCCCTGCAACATGCTATATTTTCCTTAATACTTGCATGAATAGGCTCATATTATCACATGTTGTAGAGAAAGGTCTAAAATTTTGGTTGATGCCATAATTTATTCTCAGTCTTAAATTTTGAAGAAATTACAAGCATTTAACAAACATGCCTGGAAATTAGATATTGTACAAAATTTTACAAAATGTGATTCA